AGACAAGAAAATAGCATGCCCTTTTTAAGTATTGAAAGCCAAGAGCTGGACTGGGGACTGAATGAATCATCTCGGAGTGGCTGCTGGTTTAAGGGGATAAGAACGCCAGTGCTGTTCAGAAGGTGAATCACAAACCAAGCTGCTCTGCTGTTTGCCGTTCGTGAAGTCATCCTCTGCACCCAGGTGGTGTGTGCTGGCATTGACACAGAGCAGCACTCTGCAGGCAGGCTGAACAGAGCATCTTGGAGGAGATCCTTGAATTTTGGGGTGCAGAGGGGAGGAGGAGGTGTTCAAAGGATGCAGGAAGGGCTGACATTGGCAGCGCCTTCCCACCATCACTTGGGATTGTCAAATTTCTGGTGTGAGGTTGTCAGCAGCAGAGCTGTGGGAGCAGAAAGCGCAGCTGCACTGGGTCAGAGGGACGCCATCGCTCATGCTGACGTGCCCCTGCTGGGTACTGCCAGCAGCTGGTGCCTTGGGGCTGAGCTGGCATTTCTCATTCCTCCAGGATGAGGACCTGGTGAAGTGGCAGGCCATGTTTGAAGAGGTGCCCGCACAGCTGACAGAAGCTGAGAAGAAGCAGTGGATTGCCAAGCTGACTGCTGTCTCCCTCAGCTCCGATGCGTTCTTCCCTTTTAGGGATAATGTTGACAGAGCCAAACGGGTAAGGTCTCATCGTGGCTGGGCTTCCTGCTTGAGCGCAGTGCACAGCTCTGGGGAATGCCTCTGTTCTGTGCTGAGGGTGCTGTGTCCTGGGCAGGGTGGTGGTGTGGTTACTGGCCTCATGTGGATGGTGATTATCTTGCCATTGCTGGGGTTGTTGGTTTAGGATGAAAAGAGCTGAGCGCTCACGTGAGGAACTCCTCTTTGAATTGCTTTGGGCAGTGGAGGCTGTGCTTTTTTTCAGTGCTTGGAGTGAGATGTTAATGAAGAACTGAGGCTGCCAGTTCCTTTTCAGGGCAGTTTCAGTCCTCTAATCCCTCTGCTTATCTCTGTCTTTGTACAGAGTGGAGTTCAGTTCATCGCTGCCCCATCTGGCTCTGCTGCTGACGAGGTTGTGATTGAAGCTTGCAATGAGCTGGGAATAACTCTTATCCACACCAACCTTCGGCTGTTCCATCACTGAGCTCACTGTGGGCTGCTGTGGCCCCCGTTTGGTCACAGTCTCACCAGCAGTGACTGAAGCATCACCAGCTCGAGGAGGCAACTGCAATCTGTATTTTATTTAGCAAGTATTTGTAAGATCTGCAAACAAGACCTTTCCCTGCACTAGCAGAGGATAATAGTGCAGGTGGTTGACCTCTAATGTAGAAAAGTTCTTCCCTATGGTTCTGCATATCTCTTACAAATAAACACATGGTTCTTAGCTGTATGAAGAGTGTCTTGTGTCATGCAAATACCATGTCCTGAGGTTTATTTTTGAAGTAAATCTTAGGGCATACATTGTGCGCTGACTTCACCAGTTCATTAGAAGGCCATTGGAATGGTGTCAGTTTGGCTTATGGCCAGCATATTAAATAAATGCATAAAAGTCTGGGTTGTCAAGTGGACTGAGCCACTACTTTGGAATTAGCACATACTTTTTTTTCCAGGTGCATCTGATCCGTTGTGGGGTGAGGAAAGTGGATCGTTTATGCAAGTGCAGTGCTCAGCCCTGCCCTAGATGAGCTTTTGGCTGGAGGCAGCATCAGGTGGGTGTCTTAAAGGTGGCGGAGCTCATTCCTGCAAGTTTGTCATGCTCGTTCCCAGGCACAGAGCTCAGTTCAGAGTTCAGACACGGGCATGCAGGAAGCAACTTGCCCGGAGCTGCTTCCATTCTCCACTCTGCACAGTTTGTATTAAACGGATTTGAAATCTGATTAGAAAACCAGTGAAACTCTGGAGCAGAGTTGAGATGAGTGAAGTAACAGTTCAGGCACGTTTTTGCTGGCAGTCAGTGACCATTTCAAAGGGATCTTTTGGTTCCATTTTATAAAATCTGTTTGGTTTTGGCAAGGAGCAACCCACAGCGTTGCAATAAACCAATCTGTCACGGCTTTGATCTCCAGTGGTACGGGGAGGGACGTCCACATCTGTTCCTTTTGCTAAAGCTAATGTAGGGGCACACAGGTAGGAAGGACCTGGGAGAGGGGAAGGTCAGGTCCTGCTGCTCCTGCTGCTGCCTTGCCACGGCTGTGGGCATGGATGATTTACTCGAGGTGGAGACTCTGTGACAATAAGGGCTGCCTGTGGGGTGGTCAGACACAGGACCTGGGGTTTCACTCTCAGGTTGTGCTGCTCCAATGCAAGGAACAAGCACTGTTTGACAAAGGCTTCTCATTGCTGTCCTTTGGCATGGGGGAAGATCACCTTTGTCAAGCGTTTGCACGCGTGTGCAGAGCTGTATGTGTGCATGCTGTCACCTAGCCACCTTCCTCACCTTGCCTTACCTTGTCTTCTCCTTGCACCATCACAGCAACACTCAAGTCTTGGCTGGAATGTGAAGGTTAGCAGAGAAAAACCCTTTGGGGTTTACTGAGATGCCTTCAAAGTGTGTGACGCCTCCTTGAGCTGCAGTCCTGCCTCTCTTATCCAGAACTGAGCAAAGCTGAGAAGCTTGAGACTTCCAGATTAAGACAGTAGCCCAGAATAAAAACAGTGCATTACTCAATGTTCTAAAGCTCCCTTGCTGGCTGTGCTAACCCCAGCTCTAGCCAGTGTGACTGCTTGCTACGCCATTGCTTCCTGTGGAATAGCAGTGGTCGGAGTCCTTGTGGTTTTTATTAGTGTATACTTATAAAAGTTGAGATTGAGACTTTCTCTTCCACTTCCAATGTGCCTTTTCTGTCACTGTTTGGATCGCAGCCGGTGCAGACCGTGCCACGAGTGTCCCTCAGAATCCACTGGCCTGTTCTTTATCCCGACCTTCTGAAGTACTGAGGCTGATAATGAGCATCTAGCCAGCTCCCCTTCTGATGTATTCCTTACGAGCTGTGCTCATCTGCTAGTTGAATGGATACCTGCAGTGATTCTAAGCTACCTCCCCAGCTCTGCTTCGCATCCATTTCCCACGGCAGAGAGCACGTCTGTTCTCACAGGAGATGGGTCTGGTCCCTGCACTTGATGTTTGAAGAGCAGGCTGCTGACAGCTCTGCTTCACACCATTGCCATATGGCACCTTGCCCTTGGCAGGTCCATGCTGGCAGCCAGAACAGCTCCTAGAAGCATTGAAGCAAACAGCAGGGAGGAAGCATTCTCAGCTGGGGGAGCAGCAGGGGCTCAACCTTTCCCTTCAGCCTGCTGGGGCTCCTTGCAGGTGCAGGGTGCTCCAGTCACTTGATGCACTACGACTTGGCTGAAGCATGAGAACCTTCAGAATCTGCAGTTGGTTCTGTGGCTGATCCTTTGGAGAATAAAGGAAGCAGGGCTGATGTTTGGGATCTCACGAGTTTCTGCTGTCTGTGTGCTCCGCTGGTGGCTATCGATGTTAAATTCTACTAGCAGTGTGAACCCTCGTGTTTTTCAAAGTACAAACCTCTATGGAGGGGTTGGGCAAATGCATTTTTTAAAGCATTTCATGCTGTAATATTTACTCTGTGCTGTTTTGCCATTACAGTGAGGAGATCAAATGGGCTACAACTTCAGCATGGCTCCTGCGTGCCTCTGGAATGCGTTTCTTCATGGCACAGTGAGCAGGGATTCTGGCAACTCACCTCTGGTCCAAAATACATAACTCTCTATTGAGAAGGACAAATTGAAAGAAGTCTGGTTCAACATAAAAGTGTTCTTCTGTGTCTCCCTATGCCACTTCTACTTTGCATGTGTTTTAGATAATCATTTAACCCTTGAAAATTGATTACTGGGATAGCATTGATTTCTCCTGCATTCATCTTCCTATTTGCAAACGTTTTGGCTGCTCTAGAGATAGCAATCTGTGAAAGCAACTGCCGTGTGTGTTTCTCGTGTCAAGAAGCCAGATTCTGTTTCCATGCTATGCTTTATTCAATCCAGAGAAATGCATGACTTGAGCAATACAGCGCCATTGGAGCCAAGTGAGGAACGTGGCCGAGGAATCATGGCAAGAGCCTTTAATGTTCTGCATTGCAATGGCTGTACAAAGTTTTTGCAGGGATAGCAGCAAAAGCTAAAGCGACTTAGTGCTCATTTTGTCCATCAAGATGTTTGGTTGTTTTTGTTGTTGTTTTTTTTTTTATAAAGTGCTTTAACAGGAGTTTTTATAGCCCTCACCCCAAGGTTTAAGCATGGCAGACTTGAGATCTGCACAGAGCGAGATGCTGTCTGGTTTTGAGGCTTTCTGCAGAGGTAACAAAAGGATTTCTATGACTTTCTTTACAGCACTGCCCAAGGGGACGTGGTGGTATGTCGCTGGTATGTAAACTGGTAGGGAGTTTTGCTATTTACCACATTGCACATGTAATGGAATAGTTGAGATTTGAAAGAACAGTGTGACAGCCCCCAAAGAAGCCCTTTAGGCAGTCACAAGTCATCCTCCATTCCAGGGAGCAGGGAGTTGTGGTCTTTCCCATCTCTAGGGGAAGAAGTGCAGCAGGGGCAGTGATGTGGCCAAGAACAAACTTCTCAGATGTGAACTCCACGTGAACTCATCCGTTTTGGCACCTCAAATACTGAGACCATGCTTGATTTCAGCTATTTTGATTTTTAGGTCTTGAAAGTGTCTGGCTGGAGCGAGGACCCTCTCTTTCACCTCCTTCATGCCCAAAGCAGCACTGCCTTTCCTTTTCCCCCCCCCCAGCTTTCTCTCTCCTCCACCTGTTCCCACAAGGCATGCATAGTGAGTGGGGCTCTCACCCTATGGGGCAGGGGTGCAGCTGGAAGCCTTTAGTTAACAAGCTGCTCTGCAAGTATTCTCTCGAGGTATACGTTACATTTCACTGAGGTGTTTGCTCCATCTTGTTTCAAGGCAATGTTACTCCAGATCAGAATATTGGTCTTCTTCCTAGATTCCATGGCAGCAAAGAGAAGCGCTTCAACTGCATGCCTGGTTTGTAGATCTTTTTATTAAAAGAGTTGTTTTTTTTTCTTTTCCACAGTAGTAAAGCTTTGGCACTTACAGTATAAAAATAATCACTGATCATAATTACACCAAATTCCTCTTTGTCAACTGCCTACTAAGTGTCTTCAATCCATTTTATTCCCGTATAAAAACACTTGAAGGTCAGGGGAACAAAACTGATAAATAACAGCATGAGATACAAAGATACAGCTAGAAAAATACTAGGATCATGGAGAAAGAATCAGGACTGTGCATATTTTAAATATCACAGTGATTGGATTTGCTGTTCCTATCTTACTGCTGGCTGCACGCTTATGTGAAAGCAGAAGTGTTTGGTGGACTTTCCTATCTCTAAAGGTTGGGAATGTTGGACTCAAATGTTGTTTGCATAGAATGGGAACCTTCCACTTCTAACTCTCTCCCTCCCCCTTGACGTTCTGATCCCCCACCAGTTTGTGATTCAGTATCTCCCCCCACCACCCTCCCCTTTTTTTTGTTGTTTTTTTTTTTACCCCCTTTAAATTTGTAAATACTGACTGGCATTCAACACTTTGAGCAAGAACGAGACCATTGCTACCAATCGTGAGAAAAGTCTGAAACACTCCAAGAGTGGCGCTTGGAGAAGCTGTGAGTTGAGCTTAAGCTGGGAAAATGGCTCCGGAGCAAAAGGGCCATTCTCAAAGATGCAGTTTTGCTAGCATCACTCCAGTTTGGATGGTAATCGTGGCAGATAGGTATTTATGCTTTGGTTTGTCTGTTGCCATTGCCGCAAGAAGTCTTGCTGGATGTTACTTTCCCCGTGGATGTTGTGTGTCTGCCTGTACATCTAGGGGCATGAAACACTCAATGGGGCAGTTGACGTTCTGTCGGGAGGGAAGGAAAGCAGTTAGCCTTGTCCCGTCAGGGCAGACACTGTTGGAGGTGCTCCCAGCACAAAGCTGGCTTGCAGCATTAGGTGACAACTAAGAACTACGTGCACTACGCCTCAGCCAGAGCATGCAGGCACCTCCCAGTGCCACTGGGTGAGTCCCACTGGTGTGAAAGTGTGAGCTCGAGCGTGCGCAGTGGTGCTTTGCTCATCACAGCTGTGCCACGGCTCTCGACCAGGCACAAAGCTGTGTGCTACTCTCACCCCTCACGCCCTGCCCAGAGCCCCTCTGCCAGCGCCCCAGCCCAGCCCCGCAGGAAGGGAGGTGGTAAGGAAGGTGTACTCACAGTGTTGGTGGCCTGGTGGTATCTCTGTGTGAACTGGGGGTAGGTGTGGCCAGCTGAGCCTTCGGGGGCCACTTCCACACTGGGCCTGCGGCAGTTGTCACAACGCCAGCCCTATGGGGAGAGCATGTGTGGTGAGGTGACACCGATACGATGGAGCTGCCAGCATTCGTACAGCTCCAGCGAGTCCAAGCCCCTTGAACACCCCTACTGATGAGTTTTCTTCTTACACAGGCCTGTTTTGCCCTGGGCATTAAGCCACCACCCGACCCCAAACCCAACACTCCTAAGATTGCACCACAGCGCAGCCTCCCCTTTCCTCATCCCCAGGGTGCCAAGGCCCTCCCGCCTACCTGCTGTCCTCCATAACAAGTGCAGGAGCAGATGGCCCCAAAATATTCCTTCTGCCACTGCTCTCCAACTTGGTACATCTTCCCATCGTCGTAGCACATGGTCTCATCTGTGGAGAAACAGGCAGAGCTCAGCTGTGTGGCCTGAGCTCGGCGTGGCGATAGGAGCAGGAGCCTCCAGCCAGTGTTTATTTGACCAGGGGCTCACAGGCTGGCACAGGGAAAATCCATCATTTCTATAGCTCTCCAGACACTGTCAACTAGACCATGAGAGTATCTGCCTGACAAAAGCAATTTAGTTAATGCATGCTGCCTTGTCTAAAGGATCTTCAGGTGCCAAGCCCTGCAAAAACATCCTGTGAGTAACCTACGCCATTTAGTGTGCTGACAGACCTCTTGCATGGCTGCAGGGCTGAGGGCAGTTCAGGTTACTGCACACAGCATCTAACAGAAGAGAACTATTTTTTCAAGCATGAGACTTTGAGGCCTGTGCTTTCAGTTCCTGTCAGAGTAGATTCAATCAGTCACCATGCAGGTGGAATACCTCCAAAACCCAAATCAGACATACTGATACTCTGCATGCCACCACGGCAGTGCCAAAAGTGAATGGAAGAGCCCTGAGATGGATGATTAAGCTTCTCAAATCAAGAAGTGACTTACGAGGTTCACACTTGAATTCTCCTTTTCCATTTCCAAGGCAGGTGCAGCTCATCATCTGGCCATTCTCCCCCTGCCGGTCCCACTTCTCCCCAATCTTGTAGTTCACACCATTATCATGGCACCACTCTGAAAAGGCAAGAGGGAACAAGAGAGGCAGGTATTATCCCACAGGTGCAGTGACAGAGTGGGAGGAGAACAGCTTGATGTTGGCTCAGGAGGGGCAGGAGAGCATCTCTTCAGCTCATCTAAATCTCAAGGGGGAGACGTCCCACTGTAGGTAGGATGTGACAAAGATTGGTGGTGATGGCAGTCGGAAAGGAAAAGAAATGAAAGGGAATTTAACAGATTCAGGGTAGAGAGAAAAATGTTTTAAATGCACTTTGGGTAGTTTTTTTTTTTTTTTGAGCAAACACCCAGCAGAACTATGACAGAGACTGCAGAAATTCAATCACATGTATCAGGTAATTAAATATAAATGTTACTCCTATAAAACAAACATCTCATGCAGTCATGCATCTATGCACGTCACAGAAATGCCCTGTTTGCCCTGTTTGCAGTGTGAGAGCACAGTTTAAATGAATTTGGTATGTGCTGTGTTGAAGCACTCCACCAGGCTTTTGTTCAGTTTGCATCATGTTTGGATCAGGTGGGTGCTGTCAAACATGCCTTTAGTGCTCTGGTTGTCATGGGATGGGGGGTGGGGGTGAGAAGCAAAGCTACTCACTAGAGGAATCGCATCTGAAGTGACCACTGCCAAAGCCCAAGCACTGGCACCAGAGTTTAAAGCCCGTTTCAGATAATCGCTCCCACTCCTCGCCGATGGAATAGAAGGAGCCAGTGTAAGTATCATAGCAGGTGTCGTCAGTGGGCTGGTTTAGTCCTTCAGACACTGGAATGAAAAGGGAAGAAACAGGCATCACACACAGCAATCACAGCCACTGAAAGGCAGAACGATTTTCACTGAATACATGTGGGTGTTTTTTGCCCATTGAATATCCTGCTAGTAATGGAACTACCCCATAGGCATTTGATGGCTCTGTCAGCAGTTCAGCCTCCCTGGCGTTTATTTTCCATTTGCATGTGTCAGAGCAGTGGAATGATAAAAAAAAAATTAAATAATAAGCTGACATGAAGGCTATTTTCATTTTGATTTGCCAGGTTTCAAGCACATGGGAGATTTTGTGTTGGCTGGTGAAGAGCTGCAACCTGACTTAGTCTGTTTATGAGAAATGTGCTGTGAGAGGCTGGGGGAAAAAGGCAGGAGGTTGGTGGCTGCACGGTTGCTTTCTGGAGGTGTTTCAGGCTGTAGTTCATGGCAGGGTGGGAGGGTGGAAAGAGACTTACAGCCACGCCGCTGGATAGACAGATCTCCACCCTACATGTGTGCCTTGATCAAAAAGGTGTTTTACAACCATTGGTACAGAGACAAGAGTCAAGATCAGAGGCAAGATTCAGTCAGTGACAGACTGAAGGCAGCTGGGCTGCTGGAAGGGGAAAAACAGCCTTATTTCCCAAGGAAATGGGGACAGCAGGGAGATGCATGGAGAACTTTATGAGGTGAACAGCGTAAATCCTTAATTCTTCATTTCCTTTTTTTCCCCATCTTACCCTCCTCTTTTTGACCTTAAAGTACCCACAGAATGAGAACAAAGGAGGGAGGGTTGTTGACCAGATCCCTGTGTGGCTAAAAGCAAAGCCTGGGTCCCGCAGGGTGTGTGTGGGCTCCAGGCTTCCCAGCTGCGGCAAGGGCTGCCTCTGCCCACACGTACTTGTGGCTGGTCTAAGTGCTGCCTGTCTGTGCTTAATCAGCATCTCTGCAGGCAGTCTGCCCCACTGCCAGACCTTCAGGACTGTCTGCTGGTGCTGCTGGATAACCAGCACAGAAGCAGTGGCGAATGACTGTTAGAGCAGTTATCTTCCAGCATCTTCCCTTCAGCATGCCTTGTCCTTGTGATAGCAAGTTTTCCCTGGTGGGCAGGAATCTGCAATGCCAGCATGATCCCTGGCTTCCTGTGAGAGCAGCAGACACCTGATCTCTTGCTTTCTCTCCACCACAGGCCTTTGAGGAGGGTCTAGAGCCTCAAAGCACATTGTTCATGATTAGACAACAGGTCAGAACAGCTCTAAGTCACACAATCAGTGTGAGCTGGTTAGCCACAACTGATGGGACTCGCAAATCACTTGTCCCACTATCCTGCTACAAATTCTCCACGTCTGCACAAGTTTCCCTATCCTCAGGGCAACCCACATGGCGCCCAAGCTGGAGTAAAGAAAGCAAGGCAAGTACAGCAAAGGTTCACCTGAACTCTGTAAAACTTTCACTTACCAGTATTGCCAACTGTGACCACCTCTTCCAACACCTTTTGTCTCCGGTGATCCTTCAGGGCTTCCACTATGATGTTGTAGGTGGCCCCTCTGGTGAGGCCGGTGAGCGTGGCGCTGGAGGAAGTGCCAGGAACCCTGAACTGCAAGAACAGGCAATGCCACGTCACGTCACACGAAGAAGTGATCACTCTTCAGGTGTCAACCCACTCACAGGAAAGACATGGTGCCTAGATTGACTGCTGTGCTCTGTGCTGCGATGCAGCCAGCTCGCTCCCCTTGGACATTCGAACACAGAGTTAAACTTCACTGCTATGGACTGTTATATTGTTATTGCCATTTCAGGGAGACAAACCAAGAAAGAACTGAGATGGGCTAAGGAAATCTCTGTCATGGAGTAGCAGCACTAATGCCTTTGTAACTCTGGAGCAAACTCCCAGTTGTCTCCCTGCATACTCCCTTCCCTGGCAAAAAGTTGATGCTAACTAAGCTTTTCAAAGGCTTTCTGTTCTGGCACTTTTCTCCTGTAGCTTGTATTTCACTTTTCTCTGTGAATTACTAGAGAGGTGTTCATCCTTCCTGCTCTCTGCTACACATTACTAAGACTGAGCCAACTCAGACTGCCACCTCCTTAACACAACAAAAAGCTGGAGACCCAGGGAAGGACGGTTCAGTTACCTGCAAAGTATCTTCGTCCTGGCTGACTGGTTGGCACGAGATGATGTACTCAGTGCTCTCCAGCAAAGGCCTCCAGGAGATGGTTGTCTGGGAAAGAGCTTCTTGGCCAGTGGTGTCGTTGCGCCTGGGCCCACGGGAGTGGGGGTACGAAGGCTCCACTATGATTGGCACTTGGTAGCCTGGGATTTCAATGGCTTCATCTACATTTGGTGGCTGCCGTCTCGACCCAGGCCTAAGGGGAGTCGCCGTGGTGGGTACAGGCCGCCTGTAGCCATGCTCCTCCAAGAAGACTTGCTGACCTTGGTGTCCTATTGTCTGCGGGTGCCCTGAAGTGCCTGGAAGTTGGATGCCGTTTCCATTGTCGTACCGATTGTTTGTGAGGTAAGGGGTCCCCTCATCAACAGAAGGCACGTCCAGAATGTCGGGCTGGTTGGGGTGAGGTCCAGTAATCAATGTGGGCAGATCATCTAGCCAAAGAAAGGTTAGAAGCCGTAAAGCAAAGCGTGGCAAATTAACAGTAGCAAATTCAGCAGCTAGAGTGGAGGCTGTACACTGATCCAGGCAAAGATTAGCAATTGTCCCAAGATGAAAACCACTTTTTAGGATCTCGTTCTATTATGAATGTACTGATTTATCTATGTTTTTATATGTTGTATAAATATATTTATTTCATACAGGAGGCATAAGAAGTATGTTGGTATGAATTTTTCATTCAGCTGAGCAACAGTTTTCAACACCACATCCCATGGAAGCTCTCAATGATCAAATTGAGAAGATGCAATTAAAAGAGAGATTCTGTTGTTATCATGTTAAGATAACCACCCAGATGCAGTGAGAAGCTAGGCCTGAGATCACATGTAGATGTTCAGCTAGTATTTTGCTTTGCTGCAGGTCTCCATCTCACATGGTGGAGGAGTTGGAGTAAGAGAAAGGCGACAACCAATTAATTGATTCTGCCTTTGATGGCAGGATAAACTAGAAGGAAATATGAGCATTAACCTTAACTGTCAATCAGGTACCCAGGCAAGAATCCAATGCCAAGCATGTTGTTCCATGCTTAACATTCAAACACATTTGAATGTCTTTCAGGTAACTTAGGAATCCTACCTCTTGCACCCTCAGAAGAAAATCCTCCTTACAAAGCCTATTTGACTCAAAAAGAATGGCTGAAAGGTGTGAGCAGGATATTTTACAAACTGTCATTATTTCAGTCTTAAGAGGGTACTCCCCAAAAGGAAAACATGTCCTGCTAGCACTCAACAATCCACAGCTTTGTTTTACCTGTTCTTTTTCGGCCAACCAGCGGTTCACTCTTTTGATTGTTCTTCACAGCAATGATGTAGATGGTGTATTCAGTTCCTGGTTCTAAGCCTAGGGAAAAGACATAAAAACAATTTTATGTTTGACAGCCTAATGATAAAATGCAATAGTGGTCAGCTAAGAAAAAGAGCAGTCATATGGTCTGATCTTTGGGTAGTCCTGCATGGAGTGATGAGCTGGACTCCATCCTTACACTCAATCCTTGGTCTCTTCCAGCTTGGGGTATTTACTATGATTCTTTGCTCTTTTACTGTACTTTCTAATGCAAGATAGTGTTTTGTAAGAGCACACCTGTCCTACAAATACAATATCATTCTCTAATGAGATCTGAACAAACGACTGACATTTCTTCCCCCTGGTGCCACAGCTGTTTTCCACGCAAGTGAAAAAAGCCCAAGGCTCTGGCACCTCATCAGTCATTCTGAACGCTCAGGTTTTGTGACTGCAGTCCCTGCTGACATGGTCACATTTCAACTCATTCTGAGGAACAGGAGCCTGGACTCTTTGTACTGCCCCCAAAAACCAAGCAGGAACAAAGATGAGATCTTTCTGCTGTGGACAAGGAGTAATTCCTTGGTTCCTTTCGTGCAGTAATGCTGTCCTTTACTGTGGTCACCCAGCTGCATGAGCTGGTCTAATTACATTTGGAGAGGATGGAGCTAAACAGCTCCCAGCTATCTGCCTGTACCTACATGGGGGGAGAAATTCAAGTTCTGTTCAATCTGCTCCCCCCAGCACTCAATCCAGAACACACCTACCCACACTACAGCCATACCTACCTCTTGTTGCACCTTAGATCCCACCCAGTCACAAAAAGAAGGCAAATCTTGAGCATTTAAAATGAGGAGCTCCCAGAGAAAGCAGAGACACAAACCTGTAATAGTAGCCTCAGTGGCGCCGGGCCGAGGGCGAGGCAGAAGCTCCTTGGCTGGTGAGCCAGGTTTCTCATATCTGATGATGTAGCCCGTGATCTTGGCTCGTGGAGGCTGCCAGGTGGCCAGGAGGGAGTTGCTCGTTGTTGTAAGGAAGTGCAGGTTGGAAGGAGCATCGATGGCTAGGTGGAAACAAAGGAAGAGAGTCAGATGCAGTAAAAGGCAAACATCTTTATGCAAGTTGTATATTCTAAGGTCTTTTACATGCTCAGGAGTAAAACACGTTGCTATGAGTCACAGCATTACATGAGGTCAGATATACACAACTTCTGCCTGACCCGAGGCAATTGCTGTATGTTAGCATGTGCAGAGAATCAGACAGTATCATCACCTGTGGAAGCATCAATCACTACTGGAGAGCTGCGGGCATTCTCATTCAGGGTGTAAAGGTAGATCTTGTAGTCATTGCCAGGTTGCAAGCCTAGAATGGAGTTGAAACAAAGGGTCAGCCTTTCTTGCAGAAGCAGGAAGTACACTGCAATGCACCAGGGGCTGCTCTGGTTAGTCCTGAAGGTTCTCCACACTGGCAAAGGTGGGGGTTCTCTGAACTGGAACAGGTTGCCCAAGGAGGCTGTGGATGCCCCATCCCTGGAGGCATTCAAGGCCATGCTGGATGTGGCCCTGGGCAGCCTGGTCTGGGGGTTGGTGACCCTGCACATAGCAGGGAGGTTGAAACTGGATGAGCATTGTGGCGCTTTTCAACCCAGGCCATTCTATGATTCTGCATTTTATTTGTTGTAACACTCATCTGAGGAAACCATCTAAAACAGGCACCAGAGTTCCCTTCAACAACTTCTTGGAGACTTGACGCCATGACTCCATTTTTTTTTTTCCCATCTTTTTTTTTTCCCCCTCTATTATTCCCATCAAGGCAGTTCTACTACCAAATAGGAAGCCAGCATACTCACTGACAACCCTGGAAGTCCCTGTCTGCTGAAGCATCTCACTTACCAGTGATAGTGTAAGCCCTAACATCGGGGCTGATGGTCCTCTGGATGGGGTTCTGGCCACTTGCTGCTGGGATGGCATCAATTTGGAAGCCAGTGATTGTCTCAGTCTTGGTTCTCCAGGTAATGGTGATGGTCGTCTCTGTGGCATCTGTCACACGGGCTCTGCGAGGGGGACTGACATCTGCACCAGAAGGAAAGGGTCACCATCAGTACCATGGGGATATACCAACAAAGTCTTTGTGAAAGCTTTTGCTAGAGCTTAGCATACAGCTCTGCTTCTGACAAGTCAAAATCTCTGTCTCTGGGCCTCTTTGCCCATCACAAAATGAAATGGTCACTTGGGGAGGATCACCACTTACTTTCAAGAGTGGTCACCACCCCCTGGGCAGGTCGGCTGGTCAGAGAGTCCTTCAGGGCATACACACTCACTTCATACTTGGTTGCCACCTGGAAGAGACACAGTTACACCGTGTTACAGCAAGGACACTGGGAAACATCTTCGTTCTGCGGAGCCAATTAAAGTATGAAACCTTAAAATAAATCAGTGAGGGTTGGTGGGATGATTCTAATGATTTCCAACTGTAATAAGAGATGCTACTGAGAGTATGAGCAGTGTGCACACGCAGCCAGGAGCTGAGAAAGAAGTTTGTCATCCCCCATTTTGGGATCTCTGGGCTTCAAAACTCCCTCTTCAGGAAAAGAGAATTCATATCCTCATTTTCCTGGGGTTAATGAATGCCATTTGCTATGATAACTCTCTTGCTGTAAAGAAAGGAGAATGGTGAGAGTTACAGCTTTAAGCATGGTCTTTAGTCCTCAGCTGCACCTGATCAGGAGACCACTTAAATTAGGACGTATTTCAAGGCTCACTTTTCAAAATGATTCATAAAACTCCCTGAAAACAGATGAGTAGCTTTTTAAGATAGCAGGAACCACAGAAGCAGTGATTTTCAAGCTCTTTCCAGTACACAAACTACTGAAATATTTCCCGTGGAGAAGATGGCTATATAGCATATTTAAGCATACCCATAAAAGACTCTCATTCCTTACTTACACTCTGCAGATGTCTTAGAAATAGACAGGATGGCCGGAGCTCCTGTATCACAGCTTGAAAATCACTGCATTAGGTCACTTTTATCTGACTGCTTTTGTGCAAGATGAGTTAAGGCATCTGAGTGGGTCACTGTTCGATTGCGAACCTGATTATCTGCATTTGATTAAAGCATCCACCCTCTGTGCAAAATGAGGCAGGGGAAAGAGTGCAGATCCAGCGGGCCAATTCCTTGCATTTTAAGAACTATGCTAACAAGCAGTTACAGCTGACGGCTGGTCAGACTTCAAACAGAGTCAGACCCTTAGGAGCTGTAATGAGGAACCCAGGAATTTGAAATCGCTTCGGCTTCTAACGTTTCCTTCCTACAACAAAGTGTGCATCACGCCAAGAAAAAGAGTTACCATTAATCCCGACACGACAGCAGATGTGCTGTCTGGAGAAAGGTTGATCTCTTTCATCGGACCGGTCTTCTCTTTGGGGTTCACTCTGACCCTGTAGCCAGTGAGACGAACGTTTGGCGCGTTCCAGTTGACGGTAAGACTGGTAGGAGTCACCTGAGTGAACTTGAGGTTGGTCGGAGGTGGAATTGCTGCAGAAATCAGGATTGGCACGTGGTTAGCTTGAAGAAGGTGGCAGCCTCAGACAAAACAGCATTCTCTCCTGAACACGAGGCTGTTTTAGGCCTGAAATACGGCAGTGGGAAAGCAGCGTGCCTTTTGCAAGCACGGGCGCAGAGCACTGTGGAAGGGGTTAGGTGTGTAGGTTTCTCTTCTGGAAAAATAAGGAGATCTCGTTGCTTCAACCCTGAAGTTAGGTGAGCAACAGCACCGGCTGTGATATAAGGTGAACGCTCTGGGAGGTGCTTACATCTGTAGCAGGCCTGTTTGTTTTCATTCTTCTGCCCATCTCTGCTTTTCATCACACAGCTAATGGTTTAGTCCTGCTTCACTTGCCCATCCCTGTCCATTTCTACAATGTGACTGATGATTTTCACAAGTAGGTAGGAAGCAGGCTCAGGGATTGCAAAGAGGACAAAAAATACTGCCAAATGCAGAGGGGAAGCATTTCACAGCCACTTACACAAGTGTAAATTACTACACAGAGAGCAAGGCAATGGAAAAGCAGAGCTGTGGTGGCCATAAGGCTCATCACGTCAGAGGCAGTTTGTGAGCTAATGTATCTGTTACCTTTAAAAACAAATGCCTGCATAACAGAAGCACATCCACTGCAACATTTTCTTGCCTTACTGTTTGTAATCCTCAGGCTGTAGACAGGTAAAAATAGACCTTACAATAGTGCCTGCTACTAGCATGTTGCTGTGAAGTTTTTCCTAGTTTTATGGACTGGAAATAAAAGATGATTCTCCCTTGCTGCTTTGCTGAAACAGACCTCAATCTCAAGGCCATAAGAGCCAATGGAAAGTCTTTAATGACTTCATATATGCTTCTGAACAGCCCACAAAACTTAAACCACAGAGTGGGCTTTAAAAATGACCCTATTTGCATTTTTGGCAGGTAGTCAGCCAGCTGCTTCAATCCTTACAGCACTTTCCTTCAGTTTAGTACAGCCATTTGTACGCTAGCTAACACTGCCTTCATTACACCTCTGAAATTATTTGTGCCAACTTTTCACCCACAAATGAATGGGACACCTTTATTACAAAGGTGCTACCAAGACACGTCAGGCAGTGCTGCCAGCTTTAAACTGAATTCCTTATTGCTGGATGTCACTTTATCTCAAGAAATAGTTTCCTTTTCCTTTTTAAAACGTATTCTATATAGAGTTAAACCAGACTGGCATATAAGGGAATGCAAACCCTTTTCTTGCAGAGGTGATGTGGCTGCATGGTGTGCGCATCCACGTGCGCCGCGGGCTTTAGGGCAGTGCCAATGAATGACCCAGAGGCTCTGTGAGACCTTAGAGTGGAGGAGCCTCTCTGCCTTGTCCAGGGCACACACAGGCTGACTGTGCAGGCAGCCAGCTCTCCAGCACCAACCAAGCCACCTCTCGGGGGCAATCGCATCCCGCTGGCTGCTTCCCCAGCGTGGAGCACCAGCTGCTTTACCCAACAGGGCAGAAGCTGCTGCTGCCGTGGCCCGCTGGGCAGTGTAGTTAAAGGTGTACCTGTGGACTGGGTCCCAGTGAGGGGCAGGCTCTCCATGTCATCGTATATGGCAACGATATTGATAGTGTACTCAGAACCTGGCCTGAGGCCATGCAGCTCAGCAGTGTCTTCTTCGCCACCTGGGGCCGGCAATAGCTCATGGATTCCATCCTCAGGGCTTGAGTAGGTCACCCTGTACCTGGTGACTTGCCCCTGCGGGCTTTCCCAAGCAATTTTGATGGAATCAACATCCACCTCAGTGAATGTTAGTCCTTTAGGGCGGTCAATGTCTGTTAGGCAAATTAATGGTAAGAGGTTAAGTGATAAAAAGCAGGTCGTGGGTGAGGAAAATAAAAAGCATCTCTATTACATGCAAAGCAGTTTCTGGTTTTGCACGGGGCAGAGGGCACTTGATTCTCCTTTGTGCTGCACCTTGCACATGTGCTTACAGCTGTGCAGAGCAAGGCTGACAATTTGCTAGTGCCAGACAGCAGGATGGCAGTCTCAGCCTTGTTGAACCCGCAAGAACTTGCATCACCACCTTCAAAGCAGGCAGGACACGTTCTGTATCTGGATCTACCCCTTTTAGACAACTCCAACAGCATTCAGCAAGCTGAAAGTGATCAAGAGAACAAAATGTATGGCCATTATACCTGTTTCTAACAGGGCCAGCAAGCAGTACCTCATGCTTGAAGCAGGCAGACAAGCCACCCAGCTTGAAAAGCTGGGATTCATGCTGCATTTGCTTTTCACTATTCTAAGCTGCTGTGCAAAGCACCAGACCGAGGAGAATCAGTCCCACTCTTCTCTTTCATAAATTAATATCCAATTAACACACAATCAAGAAAGCAAATTACCCAGTAAATCATATTTTTAAATCAATTACAAACAAAAAAGCAAACTTCTCAGCTTTGCACTGCGTGCACAGGGAATGTCCACAGGTGCAACTGCGTGATACTCACGCTTCCCAGCAAGACCAGTTCATTGGATTTTGCTATTAAGATCAGAGCTCAGTGCTAGACTGCAAAGTGAGAGAGCCGTGCTCCACAGAAGTCTACTGCAGAGCAATGCCCATTCATTATGGGAAGATTTGGAAAACTTTTACATCAGACCTAAATTACCCTTTCCTACAGGATTCCAATTTTTTCATTTGCTGTGTTACGCTAGTTCTGAATTTCCTGTGCTTTCTAGTTGGCAAAGATGATGTGTTTTCCAGGAACTTTTGAGCTTGAAATTGATGTGAGCTCCTTTCCCACCTCTGAGAAGTTTCAGAGAATGTCTGCTGTCTTTAGGACAGCTCTGTAACTATTTGGGGTTGAGCTGTGGTTTTGAACACAAACCTGAGCAAAGGAATAGTGGACATGGAAATCCCTACCCCAGAGGCATAGGGATTTACAGTGGAGGCAAATGCTTCCAAAAACTGCCCAGTCCCTTAACAGCAATCACCTCTGCCACCTAGCTCAACGCAAGAAATCTCTGCACATTTTTCCCACTGATTGGCTGAAGGCAAACAAAGCCCAAAAAGACTGCAGCTTTAGTGAAAGAAAATCAGAAGCGCAGCATTTTGTGGGGGTGGGGAGAAGGACTGCATGTCTGCCAGCATCTGCTATTAGATGCGTGGTACTTAACACAGGGCAGGCCACCTTGCCTCCTCCTGGGAACTGAGGACCTGCCACCTGGTTTCACCGGGGACGTGACACGGCTCAGTGAATTCAGACATCACAAGGTAACATTGGTTGTGTTACCCCCAAGTGAAATACATACTGGTGACAGCTGTCTCGACCAAGGGGAGGCTCTCTCCGTTCTGATTCTGAGCGTAGACACTGACCATATACTCAACCGTGGGCTGCAGGCCTTCAATAGTGACTTGTGTTTGATCTGGCAGGAAAGAACAGTGTTAGAACTTCTGCACCCACACAAAGCTGCAGAACATTTCCCTCTAAGCGCTTGCAAATGAAGGGTCTGTATTGGCCATTTTGTGACTGAACATCACTAAAATGAGGTTAAGTTTGATGCATCAGGTTTAACTTCTCGCAGTACAGATCTCCAGCAGTTCAGGACAAGGCACCTGCAATTTGCTCCTGCCCAAAGGCCCCACAGCTAAAAGATTAACACTGTAGAAAAAGCAAGAGCAGAGCTGTTTTCTCTGTTTTCTGAGGTAGGACTGACCAAATGCTTCACAAGCAACCCTCAGAGCTAATCTCTGCCAATCCCATCAAACCCACTGCCTGTTTTCCTGAGAGCAACCTGAGAGCTGCCTGGCCCTCTTTACACGAGGTCAAACCTGAAGCATGGACACGGTCACACACTTTAAGTAAGTGCCCCATAATATGACCCTGAGCAGGACTTTGGATGATGTTTTGCAGGATGCTAGAAAATTCAGTAGCATTCCCTTGAAATCCAGGTGCTTCTCAGAGGTACAGAGGTTGCCAAGAACAAACCTTTGCAGCAGAGCAGCATCACAGAAGTGTAAAGCTTTCAGGGCAAAAATGTATCCTAGCTTCCCCTTTATGAGACTCAATTGAAGCCAGCTGGAAAGCAACAAAGGTTCAAGCAGGATAAGTCTGCTTTGGAGTTTATGTCCAGTGCCTGATAGTAATCCCCAAGTCTTGCATTCCTTACAGATCTGTGGAAAGAGATTTTGTGTACTCTTACCTGGAGGAACATTCTTGGTTTTCGTGGGTCCATGCCCTTTCTTGGGGACAGCTGTCACCCGATACCCTGTGACTGGGGATGATGAAGGGAGCCATCTGATGCTGATGCTGTTGTCCTGGACATCAGTAACTTGCATCTGGGATGGTGTGTCTATTTCTGGGCAAGAAAAATAGGTTTTGAGTACACTGCTACAGGAAGTGTAGCAGTGTACTTCCATCCATGGTTACTTCCTCGCTGAACTGTGTTCTGCTTTTCCTTTTCTAGGCTGCGTTTCTTAAAGCAGAAAACACAAACAGCTATTTACCCCTCATACCAGCACAGAGCAAAAAGGTCTTATCCATGCTGTGTGGGTGGTGAGTGAAACTCACACGAAGGTTACTTGAGCTTCTTTTCTGTTGTTTCAAAGCTTACTAGGTGCCTTTATCTAGCAGTAGGCTAGGTCCACACCAAGAGTGAGGAGAGAATCCTGGAGTAAGAAATCCAGGGCTTACTGGGATCGCAGAGCACCAGAAGCACCAGAGCTGAGTGAACAGGCACTCTTGATATGAGAGCCCAACTCCACAGCGAGCAGTTACATACTGCTTGCATCCCCATCTGGATTCCATTTGGTCTCCCTCCTTCAAAAGTCCAAGTCCACGGTGCCCTTTTGCATCATCTCATTATCATGCTGGGCCACCACAACATGCAGCTCTGCTGAAAATGACGAGCTTAGAACACAGCCCGTGACTTGGAAAAGAAACTGGGGTTTATTAATGCAATTTTATGGGGGTTAGCTATATTAAGGTTGTAGGGTTTTTTGGTGCGTGCTTTTTTGTTGTATAAGGAGACCTCACCTGTTTTGTAGGTGACAGTAACAGGCTTGCTGCTGGCAGGGCTGTCTCCACGACCAGTTACAGCATACACAGTGATGGTGTAGTCCACGCCGGGTTTGAGGCCAGTGATGGTAGCACGAGACATGGTGCCAGGCACTGTAAACTCCTGCACAGGGCTATTTCCACCTGAAGAAGATGGGGTGGAAAGAGAAATGCAATCTTTGGATCTCTTCAAATATACATCATTATAAAAATACAGGACTATTGTATATGCATCCAAGGGAAGAGAGGATATTGATTGATTGATTTTGGGGAGTTTGGGGTCAAATTGTTTTTCAGTCCAACCCAAGGAAAAAACATGAAATGTGCATAGAGCACCACCTCTAAGATGTTCTTTTTTTTTTCAGAGGAAGATAAAGGTCATTTACTACCCTGTAAAAATAAACCTTATGTTTGACAATATTCTCTAGACATGATGAAAGAATCTCAGAGATAAGAATGGAATTCTTTGTCTGCTGCAGTCAAACCTGCCTTTGCTATTTGTTGTAGCTTTCCAATGGCCTCAAACTACAGCTGCTGGTCTGCAACTGCCACGGCCACCTGCCCTCACCTGTTTCACCATAAGTGATCCGGTAGTATCTGACTGTCACTGCAGGAGCATCCCAAGAGATCTCGAGGCTGGTTGGGCTAGTGGGGTTGACTTCCAGGTCCCTTGGAACATCTGACACTGGAAAAACAGAGATGAGAGTTTAGATACAGCTAATGCTTTACCTCAGTACCGCAGAGCCTTTACTCACGAGCACAGTTTCACCAGCTGGCAGAGAAGATCTGGTCTATCCATTAGAGGACACCAGAATCCTCATGATAACACTAAGTCAGCTGACCCATCCCTCAAAGCTTACCGGTTGTTTGCTGGCCAACCAAGGGCACGCTCTCCTCCCTGCCGTTGACGGCGATGATGCTGACCACGTATTCTGTCCCTGGGAGCAAGTTGGTGAGGGTGATGGAGTTCCGTGATGGGGGCACACGGTCCTCCTTGGGTCTGCCAACGCCGTGCTCTGGGTGATGCCGAATCTTATAGCCCGTAATGGTGGCGCGAGGAGCGATCCAGTGGACGGTGAAGGAGTTAGCGGTTATATCCGAGAAGTCAAGGCCAGTGGGGGAATCGAGCCCTAGGTGTTTCAAAGAGACGTGTTGAGATATGTCTGAACATTTGTTCTTACACAGGCAGCACACATGACCAGCAAGCTCTGTTACACTTAGCAAACAAGAGAGGTTCAGTGACAGATGCAATAGGCTCTGCCTAAGCTCACCGTCATCCACACACGATTGGTACATTCACACCAGGGCCTACAAAGCTTTATTTATGACCAGCAGACCTGGCTCTCAGGTATTGGATGTTAGATTTCCTAGTGTTTCCCAGAATATACATCTGCATTGCTCTTTAATGTATAACTGATGATTTGTTAGTAAGATGAGCATGGAGAAACAAGAGCAGCAAGATGAAGTGAATGGACACTTGATGGACCACACTAATTACATGTGTATCTCAGGTTTTGTCTAGTACCTGTTTTCTGGATTCCAGACAAAGGCGCACTCTCATGTTGCTCAGAAACACTGTAGACTCTCACCAGATACTCAGTACCAGGAAGCAGATCTGTGGAGTTTAAATAAAGGGATTCAGACAAACTTCTTTACTAATGGTAGTAGTCACTTAACAAACTGGTGCAATTTTAACAGTGTTTCTTAAGGGAAGTATTCAAGTTTTAACTGGTGGAAGATCTGAGCCTCCAGGATAAACTTAAATCAGCTTTTTTTGTGGCATTACAGTTACTAGAAATGTTGTTATCTTTCTGTGGGGACTGGCTTGAAGCAATGTGTTTTCATCGGGGTCCTTCCTGGTATCTAGTCACATGCCACAGCAAAGTTCTATCTGATACAAACTGGGATAGGGCCAAGGATTTCTAACACAGCTATTTTAACTCACACAAGGTTCCCACCTGGTCCTGTATTCTGAAAGCAGGTATTGTCTTTCACTCAACAAACCTGCTTGCAGGATGGGGAAAAACTTCAAATAAAAGCTAGCTTCTGCACCAGCAAAAACAAACAAACAACAACAAAACACAAAAAAGCAAAAAAAAGCAAACACAAACACCAAAACTAATGTCCACTTTTTGAAAACTGGCCAGGATTTTTTGTCATGTTCTGTAAAGTTCCCAAACAGTATTTATTTTTCTGACACACAGAGCCCAAGGAGCAATGACCTTTTGCACATTCTGGTCATCCCCCTGGGCCTCCCGCACTACAAGCCCTTGACATCTTTGGCAAACTAGGAGAGCAATAGGTATTTACTCTTAATACCTAACCAGGCTGTAAATCAAAGCAATTGCTCCATACTCTGATTCATGACTGTCCTTGGACTGATGGGAAAACGCTCCTGTGGTTTGGTTTTAACCTGGTTAAAGCTAGTGGCCAAAATTCACTCACTGTAAGTTTGCATGAGGCTACTCTGACATCTGTTTAAATGAGCTGAGAATCCAGCCAGCTCTACTTGGAGCAGTTCCTTTTGCCTTCCCTTATGCCATTTCTACATATAAGGGGTGTCCTATATTTGTCTTCTGAATGTAACCTTCTTACTTGTTAAGACCACCACGTTGTCTGAGGGTGAAATTGTCAGCTCTGCAACGTCCTCCTCCTTCTTCACAGGTGAGTAGCGCACCAAGAAACTGCTCAGCACGATGGAAGTTGGTGCAGTCCATGTCACCCTCATGGTATCAGGCCCCACATTAGTGAAGCGGAGATCAGTGGGAGGAGGCACAGCTACATGGGAAAGAACAAATAGATCTTAATCTTCTACAGTACGTAAAAGCTGATCGAGACAAGGAAACCAGAGAAAGTATCTCATGCATAACAAACTACTGTGTCAGACCCATGCAAACGGACTTCTAAACTACAGTTGGTTCCACTACAGTTAAGAGAAAAGTATGCCTGTACTGCTGTCAGGCTCCTTTAGCCTCCTGGCATTTCCCAGTACTTTCAATATACCTCGTGGGACTAATTTGAAAACAAGATAGCAAGTTTCAGTAACGTGCTTCTTGCAGCTGGATTTCATATTACAGACGTAGAGCCAAGAAAGGTTTAAAGTTGCCATACAGCAGCTTACAGATGGAAAAGTCATCTCATCTAGAATTCATACATGCACACATAGGAGAGAAGAGGGTATACCACTAATTTCTTACAACTCTACTTCTACTTGCGTTGAGGGATTTACAGCCTCAGGATTTTCCAACACAATAGGATTTCATGCAAGAACCAGTTTCCAGCTCGCCTTCTGCCCATGCACTACAGAGACCCTCGACGGTGTGACATGGCTGTCAATGGCATGTGCTCAGGGAGCGGTGTTTCACCTGCATCCTTTTGGGGCATTGTGGAAAGAGTGAGGCTGCCACTGAAACGGGCTGCTGAAGCTCCAATAGGCTAGGGATAAAGTGGAGGGTGCCTGCTGAACTGCTCCACGCTTTGGCACTTCTATTTTGGGGAAGCGCAGCTTAGAAGTCTGGTGAATATGAATCTCTCAGTTCCACCTGCATGCCAGAAATCTGAATAGCAGAACGTGACTGAGCCTGGCAAGCCTGCAGCCGTTCAAATCAGAAAGCTGACCGGTGCATATCCATCCCAGCAGCCGTTTAGAAAAAGGAGTGAGCTGGGTCTGCTTGCCTTTTGCCTTTCCCTCAGCGTGCGGCTCGACTCCTCTTTGGACAAAGCCCCACGGTCCCCACAGCTAGTGACAGCATGACACACCGTCCGTGCCACGAAACACAGAAATGATCAACATTCACCCGTTTGCTGTGTCAGAGTGGTAGGGGCGCTCTCTCCGCCATTAATGAGTGTGATTACACTGATGTCGTAATCAATGCCCGGCTCCAGGCCTGTCACTGTGTAGTATCCTACTGAGGAGTCCACAAAGTCTTCAAAAATAGGGACACTTTCTCCTGCCGCAACTACTGTGATGCGGTACCCAATAATGGTGGAGGCATTTAACGGGGTCCACCTCAGGCCGATGCTCGAGTCAGTTATGTCAACAAAGCTTAGGTCAGTGAGTTGGGGCACCTCTAATGAGTTAAAGAGCAAACAGGAAGGGCGAAGACACACGGAGGCAAAAGAAAGACAAGGGAGAAAAAAGCAGTGTTCATCACAATTAACATCGACAGAAATGTAGAAGCAATTGTGGTGATATGAAAAGTTTCTCTTGGGGTTTGGCTGGAGAAGCAGAATTTTGGGGATAGGGTATTTTTTTGCTCTTTATATTGTACTTCCACACAGTCTTCAGCTGCCTCTCTGAGCAGACAGAAGCTGAAACCTGGACCCAGATCCACCAGGACAGTGCATTGCAGACATACTATTTCCAAAAAGGCCTGGAACAGGCTGGGCACTTAACTTGCATCGAGTTTACTTCGAACAATGAAGAGACAAAGAACCATCCTTTGAATGAATTGAAACATAGAACATACCCTTTTTTTTTTTCCCAAGTAAAAACAAGTTAATAAAGTCTATTAAAACATAAACAAAACAAGCTCCTCTGAAATATTACTGATCGACAGATTTTTTGCCTCGTTTAAATGTTAAGTCTGACTTTTGTCATTGGGATCATAAAGGCATCAACCCATCTGAAGGGACTATATTGGCCTATGCCATAACAGTGGTTACATTCTATTTTAACATTCTGCTGGGAGAAAAAAAAACAACTTATTTTACAGGATAGGTGCCAAAAAAAGCCAATTTTCTGTAAAATCATCTTTAATCTGCACAGAATACATGTACCATATCACCTTTAAAGAGTGCTGAAAGCCAGAGACATACATTCTTAGCTCTTTCTTGCACCAGAAGATGGCAAAGGGCTAAAGCCATCACTGCTTTCATTATGCAGTATTGCAGTATTAGTTCACTTCAAGATTGCAAACAGTACTTCAGTGAAGAACAGACATCTTAAAGCAGCGTTGTAAGAGCAAGCAAACACAGCAGCTGGCATCACTGCAGGGCTGAACAGAAACAAAAACACACAAACAGAGCCCTCACAAACAAAAACGAAACGAGACCACCTAGGGAGATGGGCATTAAACTTCTCCTACTGCCCTATGCCATGATATTAGCTGGGAGACCTACAGTGCAGAGCTCTGTGGCTCAACTCCGAGTGGCTAACAATGCCTTCATTACCTTGCGTGACGGTTTTGGAGATGGGGATGCTCTCCTGGTCATCTTTGACTGCGTAAACGCTGACATTGTACTCCACACCAGGGTTTAGGTTCTCAAAGGTGCAGGAGGTCTGATCTGCACCTACTACTTCCTCCAAGGTAGAGCCCTGCTGCCCATCTGTAGGAGCAGTGGTCACTCGGTAGCCGCTGATGCCTGAAATACAGATATCCAGCATTATTTCAGGTCCCTCTGAGACCTTCCCGAGCTGAAAATCTCACGACACATCAAGAAGAGATGCATCTGAGAGTTTTCAAAAGCCTTTCAACCCTTATTTTGTGGAAAACAACTGCACAGTTCCCATCAGCTTCTGTGGGAAAAGAATTCATCTTGAACACTTTCAGAAATCCCATGCATATTCTCAGTGACATGAGCTCATTCTCCACTGTCAGAAGTATTTTTTTAGGTCTAGTTTGCTTTCCTGTTTTCACACCAGTCGAGGTGTTCGACCAAATCCTTCAAATCCCTTAAACAGCTGAAGTATTTAAATGTTTTATACTCCCAAATACCATTTTATATAGAACACAAGTCATGAATATAGGTCCTATCGCAACCTATACTTAACTGTGAATTATATCTTTGAATATAACCAGATTTTTTTCCCCCCAAAATGTCTTGGTACCAAGCCTCCCATGAACATCTCCTCAGTGAACTGCAAGGCACCATAGGATAAGTGTTACCATCCTGGTACAACAGAGGTTTCAAGATCAGCATGAGGTCATACAGTTACCTGGAGTTGTGCTTCTATCCCAGGAGACTATCAGGATTCCAGTATCAGGATTGGGCTCCAGGCGCAGGTTGGTTGGTGGAGACAGTGCTGTAAGCATTCAGATCAATGAGTTATTTCTGGCTTTGAGAATCATGCTAGCTCCCTCAGCATCCCTTCTTCCCAGATTCTATTCTCATTCTTCACAACTAGCTAAGACTTCTGAAGTTGTGACCCTATAAGCTAGCTCTACAGTCTCCTGTGCATCAAAAAAACCCACAAGAGACTTCCTGAAGACAGATATTCATCTGAGGAGTGCAGAAGAAGCAAGTGGAAGAAGAAATAGCTGCAGAAAAGCAAGCGTGTCTTACGTGTGGTCACTCTCCTGATGATTGGGGTCTCTCTCTCCTGGCCGTCCATCAGGACTGTGAGGCTGTAGGTATACTCCACACCAGGGGTCAGGCCAGATATCACAATGCTGCCAGAATCAGAGATGACCTCACGGGGAGCCTCTCCACCTTGGCTTGGGCGCACACCAAGCTGCAGAGAAGAAGCAAAGCTTTCTTTTCAGTCTTAAGCACTCCTATCCCATGGAGTGATCATCATTTTGTCTTGGCACCCAGCATGGGTCTGTATCCTCCATCCCAACCACTAATCCTGTCACTTGTTTTAGATACCCAGAGCTCAAGCTGAGTTGCTTTGTACCCCTAGCCGTAATCAGTCCTCCCAGTCATAATGAAGAAAGAGGAAAAGGAACATGGCACTTTGGTTTCTCCTACCTTGAAACCAATTCTTGGGGCAGGTGTCCAGGTGATGACAATTGAAGTCTCAGTCACTTCTGTGTTAAAAGGAGGAACGGAACCAACAGGCTGATCTGTGAAGAGAATTAAGAGATGAAATCTAGCTGCTGCAGTGATGAATAGTTAGAAAACCTGACCTATGGCAGTCCAAATAGCTATATCTATCTAATAAGATGCTGAACTGCATTATTTGGAAAAGCCAGTGGTTTGGGAGGGATCTGGGAGATGACCTCTGTAAGTCCTCCTTCTGTCCATCCAACCCCAGTTTAGTGAATACTGGTTGGCATGATATCTGAAGTGTTCTTCAGAAAGCAGGTTTCTTCCCTTTAGCCACCATACGTCGTTCAATCAGCACCACACTACACTGTTGTCTGTCCTCCAGCTGTCCCAGCAAGGACCTTCTCATCCCTCACCAACATCTTCAGTCCTTTTCAAGTAATAGGAAGCACAAAGCCAATTAGAGGATTCTGTGGTCTCATCGATATCTGTCAGGAGCTTCACACAGAAGCCAAAGTTTCGCCCACCTCAGAGTCAGTCTAAATAACTCCAATGAGTTTAATCTGAACTGACCTCATTAATAACAAAGAGACTTGGTTTATTCACCCATGGTCTGAAACTGGAATGGTTTCATTCACATCAGCTAGGACGCAAAGGGAGCGTTCATCTAAGACAGACAATGTAATTGAGAAATATTTATAGATAAAACTGTCTGTCAGCAAAAAAACACACTGCCAAGGTCAACAGTGTTGCTGTGGTGATAAGTGTAAACCCTTGTCTTAACTTCACGTTGTTATAAAAGAAACCACATTCCCTTTTGAAAAGAGGATGTGGTTCTGGGCTCGGATGACTGAATTTTGTTAGTCTGTACGACTACTTTTTCATTATTTAAAAATAAATCTACTTGTTCATTCTAGAAGCACATGTGAGATCCTATACAACTGCCTCAACATCCAACATTTGCTGAGTTTTTTTTCCATGCAAGCAGCACAAGCATAAGAGACTGCAATGAAATAACTATGTATCAACAGCATGAACTCTTTATGTTATGTCAGTTATGTAACTGCTCTTGAGCTGCCTTAGACAGCACTGTTGTCTTGAGAAATGATTGCCTTCAGCTTTACACAAATCACATATTAATTATTCCTTACCCATTCTAAGGGAGCATTTTGCTTTCCTTGATTAGCCATGCCAAACCCAAACAACTGGAAGGAGCACCTAAAATTACACTCCTTTGTCATTCAGTTAACTGAGGTACCAATAGTAAGTTTTCGCTTGTGCTGGAATATGTTTTACTGGAAGCTTTTTGATGCCAATAACTCTCTTACTGCCAAATAGTTCAGTGAGAAGAACAGGGAATACTTCCCAAGCAGTTCTGCTGGAATGCTACTTCAAAAGGGTTCCTCTGTAAACCAATTCACGAAACAGCCACTTCCAGCACAAGGCTTCAGATCTGAAGAAGGGCCAGGGCATTAGTGAAGAGGAATACGTGCCCGTTATACTTACATGTCGTGAAGACTCCAGTCTCTCTGGCACTCTGCAAGTCTTCTTTAACTGCCACGAGGTACACCGTGTACTCAGTGCCAGGCTGCAGGTTCCTGAGGAGGTACTTAGTGGCAGAAGGGCCCACGTTGTATGTCCGTGGCTGACCTCCCCTCGTGGGACCTGCAGTCAGTCTGTATCCTGAGATGATGGCACGGGGCCGCGTCCACAACACCAGCACGGAATGCTCTGTGGTGTTGATGAACCTCAGGTTGGTGGGGGCATCGAGCTCTGGGGAGGAAAAAGCACAACATGCATCGGTTTTCCAGCTTTCCCCTACTTCACCCCAAAGCACACTCATCACCTTGCGTTGAGGCATGGGTGTAAAGTGAAGCTGTTGAGCCTATAATTCTCGCTTGGGGAGTGCATTAGCAGCAAGGAAGAGAGAAGGAGGGAGCTGGAAGCAGAACTGACAACTATATCCATGCCTCGATACCAGCCAGTAATCTGCACCTATTCTGCTCCTGGCTGCCCTGATTTGGGCTGCTGCCATTCATGCCATCCCACGGGGGAAATCAGGCTCATAGCTGAGGCGAGACAGATGAACCCAGCAGCTCTCAGGAATTTCCATAGTTTCTCACGAATGCTGAGCATTTTTTAAACAAATCAGTTCAATTTAGAAACACCAGCATTAGCACAGAAACCTAACTTCAACTCTTTTTGGTTTTTTTTTTTTGGTTCAAAAAGATTTATGTTTTCAAATCTTTGCCCAGTCCTACTCCCTGCCCTGCTCAAAAGCCCTTCCCAAAACTAAGCAGCACCCCTGCCTTGTCATTTTGATGATAAAATAATCAAGTCAGCAACTTTCTGGAGAAAACCAGTTCCTAGCTCTCCTTAAAACTAATCATGCTGTGGAACTGACCACACAACAATTTTAAGCATGCTCATCACTCCCATGGGGCTTGTGCAATAGCTCTTATCAGGCTTCCTCCACTATTTTATCGCTACCTCTGGGAAGCTGCTGAGACTGCTAACCCAGAGAACTACATAAACAAGCTTGAAGTGCCATAGCTTCTTAAGCACTGCAAGAGAGTCCCCAGTGAGTGGCAAAGATGTCCCTACCTCGGGCTGAGCAGCTCTTGGGACAGAATGAGACCCAGGGGAGGAATCATACTTAAGCAATTCATTGGCACACAGCAGGCAATGTGGCAAAGAGTTATGGGGAGCTAGGCAGCAAGCTTCCACACTTTTCCTAGTCCCAGGTTGAAACTGAGGCCAATAAAGAGAGGCTCCATCAGTGCTCTTTTTTTGATGGCAGAAGCTTCTTACCCCCACTGGTCCTCAAGTAGACAACATTTTTGTGATAAAATTGATGTTTTCCCCACCTTCCTGTTGATTCAGTGAAAAGCAGTTTTTGCCTTTTTGTTTCTCTACCTGCTTATTTTCTCTTTTTTTTCTCTTTTTCTTGAAAAGGGAGAGAAAAGGAAGCCAGGACTCCCTTCTTCCAAAGATGGGGAAAATATTTCAAATGGAGAAAGAATGAGTGTGACCCTCTCTAGACCCACCTCCAACCAACAGGTGAAGATTCAGCCTTATCTTAGTATCTAGACCTGTGTTCTGTTCCATCTGACAGGGATTGTATCTTTATCCATTTGTCATCTACACTCAGTTTCTTCCTGCACACTTTAATTTGCCAGCTCTGTTAGGCTTCTATCATTTCCTCTCCCCATATTGAAGTAAAAAGCCACACACACACTTGAGTTTGTTTGCAGGCTGCTCTTTGCCAGAAGGCCAAGAAAAGAATCACGTTTACACTGTGGGAAGAGACTTTTGCTGCAGGGTTTTCCTTGGGAACTCCCAATGTTTCCCAGGACTCGTGATTACAGGATGCAATTTACATGAATACTTTCTGAAATGTGGTTTAGGCAAAACAGTTAAGTGGATGATCGTGGCCTATGGAAAAGGATTCCAGACGTGTTACTAGCCCTGTGCTGTCTGAATCTCATGTCTATGCTCTGATGTACACCTCTAACAGAGGCTCTACACCTAACCAAGGCTCCTGAGAGCAACGACAAAAAGTTCACAGATCTAAATGGGAACTGAGCTCTTCTTGTTCTACAGTGTTTAGATGTTGTAATGAGGGTTAGTGAGAAATATTGGCGGCAGATGGACTGTTGGACTGGATGATCTCGGAGGTCTTTACCAGTCCTGGTGATTCTATGATTCCATGTGCTTACAAGAGAGCTCGGACTCCTAAGTTGTATCCTTGCTTTTGAAAGACTTGTTTTAAAGAGGAGAGAAGCTGTTCCCACCATCTGTGTGACACTACAGTCACATACCTACATCAAAGGACAAACATAAGGATTCTATTCTCCCTGCATAGCCAAGGGAGATGGTAAAAGGGAGAGGCACTATTCGTGGTTCCTAACTTCATGAATGTAAGTAAATAATATTTCCCCTAAAGTATGACTATGTTCAGATAACTTCATTTCCTTTCCTTACTTCTTCAGAGGAGTCGGGCTGGATTCTCAAAAGCTGCTCTCATTACCAAAAAGTGTCAGAACAGCAGCCAATGTGCATAGCTGAATTCTGGCCCTTGGAATAATGTGACCCACCTGCAGAACAGCACAATCATCAGGTTACCCCTTATACTGCCCAGTAAACAGGATCTTTTCAAATAAACCAGGTCCCAGATTCTATCTGAGCTGCCTGCTGAGATCCTTATAAGCCAGTTCACTAGGTTCCACTGGGATGACAGCAGAATCTCTGGGGTGCTGAGACAGGCTATGGAAAGCCAGACCTGACCTGGCAAAGCTAAGATGCAGTCCTTTCAATTACATGACCTGCCCTCACATGTGTATGAAGAATTCCTTCCGAAGACAGTGGAGCTTAATAGGCAGAATAGGCACGCAGCTGTCAGAAAGGAGAGAGGGATTTTTCAGAGCAGTCTCAGCAAGGCTCCTGTGTCATGCTGAAATCTGCCCTAAGGTATTCTCCAAAAAAAAAAAAAAAAAAAAAATCACAGGCTGTGATCTGCACAGTAAAAGAACTGCAGGGCCCATCAATTCTCAGCCAGTAATAAAAAAGTTGAATTCCAGCCATTCGAAATTGTTTTCAAGTGCCACGAGAGTTAAACTCCCATTGGAAAGCCCTGGAGGAGGATAAATCTGCTGAAGAGATCACTGTTTGACTGAATGAATTCCCTGCCCTGTCATCCTAGTTACGGTATACCTCCTGGGCTACAACTGTTGCAATTTAAATGCTCTGTTTATATTATTTCTCTAAGCGACAGAGGTATAAGCATCTCAAAAGGTTGAGAAAAGCACCGAAGAAAGGAACTTACTGGTGGTTTGCTCTCCAGTCAAAGGTTTGCTCTCCCTGCCCTGGCTCACAGCAAAGATCTTGAAGAGATAGGTCGTTCCTGGGAGCAGGTCAACGACTTCAGCAAAAGAGCTTCTAGTAATGGGCAATCTCTGGCCGTGCTGGCCAGGGCGATTGACAGGGATTGCTTCCACCCTATAGCCAGACACTTGGCTCTGGGGTGGGGTCCACATGATGGTGACCTTGACGTCGGTAACCTCCACAAACTGCAGATCTTTGGGAGAAGGAACTTCATCTGAAAAGAAAGAGGCAGAAGGGCGTTAGAGGCGATCCTTAGCAAATGGGGCTCACACGGGAAAAGAAGTGCATTCTGACTGAACAATGGATAGCCCAAGAGTATTTACCAAACAAAAAGATGTCATGGTAACCTTCCTTTGAACATAGGCACACACGTTCCCTGTCAACATTCAAGCAGATTACAATTCAGAATGTCACCTCATAGCTTTAACTACTTAATGTCCTCAGTCGCAGAAAGAATCTTGCTGTCATCAAAAGAACTGAAAACTAAATGTAATGTGCTAGCATGTCAAATATATGCAGAAGCAGAAGCTTGAGAAACAATAAACTAACAAGAGCAACAACAACAGACCAACTCCAGAGGCTGGACACAAGATCCTCCTCTTAAAATTAGGAGACAGTTCTGAAAATCTGCAGCATGTTCTGAATGTCTACAATTAACTTATAAACCTATCTTTTATAATTAAACTAGTACAGGGGCTGATCTGGCTTTACTGTAGTCGAAGACAAAATTCAGTTCCCTCTGCATTGGCCAACAGTACTGCACCCCTGAATTCCTACATTCAAATTAAGTTTCTTTAGATTAGGAGTGATAATACCCTAAGGTTAACCAACTCACATTTTGAGAAGACACAGATGCCAAACCACAGCCAATGAGCTGAGTTCCTTCCTGGTAAGTTCCCATCTGCCAACACATATGCTTGCAACTTGCAGGACCATCACATTCCACTGTTACCACATCAGATCCCAATTTTTTCACTGCCTTTTCTTTTGGTTTGGCTATTCAACCCAATTGATAGTTAAGAACTCTGAAACCACTGTTTTATTTTTTAATGTGGCTCCCTCAACTTTAGATTGTACGGTGTTATTTTGGCACATCAACCAATGCTGAGCAATCTCCACAGGCTGTGATGGAAAATAACTGTTAGGACTGGAAAGGAGATGGAGAAGTCAGGTGAACTATTTAGATTTGTGTTGTTGTGTCTGAGTACGTAACCTTAAACATCTGCAGGCCAAGTACTGAGGCAAAATGATTTACCAGAGTCATAAGATCTCTCAGCAGAATCCCCACAGACAACTTAGAAAGGAGAGATCAGTTTTTCCTATAGACACAATGCAAGACCAACCTTTTGACCTGCCCACAGCTTCACCTTGAAGAAATCTAACACTCCTAATGCAGAGCAGTGGTTTGACTGTGCCAATTCATAAGTATGACTTTACCACATTCGCAATTAAAAAAACCAACACAACAACAAAAGCAAAATTAAAAGTCCACATAAGGACTGAGCAGCAACACTCATTCGGTTAGAGTAATGAGAGCTTGCACTGCCATTTGGGTTAGGGTACTGACTGGTCTTCTGGCCACTACCTGTGCGTGGGACGCCTGTGGTTTCCTGCTGGATGAAGACAGGAGTACTCTCCTGATGTTCCTCCACTGCATAGATGCTGATGTTGTACTGAACACCTGGCATCAGATCACTGAGTGTTACAGAGGTAGCAGTGTCAGGCAAGTTGAGCTCTGTGCTGCTGCCTTCCACAGAGGGTGTGTAGACAATTCTGTAGCCTAAAAAAATAAAAAGTATGCATATAGTTGTCAGGTGTAATCAGTAAGCCAGCACAAGAAATGACAGAAAAGAGAACAAAACAAATGTCTTTACAGAGATTTCACAAAGCCATGGGTGCTGAACTTCTGTAGCACCCATGGCTTGCTTTTGCTGAGTCCCACCTACAGATCATGGGATCATGACCCACATCACATCATCTGACCTGTATCAAAATTTGTAACTCTTGATGTATGGACTTACGGTCCATATTGTTCATGTTTGTTATGGCATGGTCTGTATGACAGTTACAGAAAGTAACAAGGCTCGATTTTTCTTTCCCCCAGCACAGATGCAAGAGGAATGATTTTACATCCTTTAATTGCTTGAATACAAAAGCTAAATTTTCTGCATGCCTTCCAGCTGGCCTCTGAGCCTGGGCAGAAGGCACTAACCTGTTGTTTTGGAGTTCATTTTCCTTTCTACTTAGGTTTCAGATTCTATCAGCACTGTGAAATAGGCAGGCTCCAATTAGACATACCTGTGATTGGAGCCTGTGGTCTGCTCCAGCTAATGACAATTGATGTGTCATCGACGCTTTCCACGTTGTGCTCAGGAGGTGCATCAGGAGCTGTTTAAAAGACAGGAGGGCAACAAGAGTAAGGATGCAACGTACCAAATGACCAGAGCAAACAAAAACAGCTTCTGAAGTGCAGTTACACCCACCCACACATACCTGTTGTCTGTGAAGTAGACAGGATCAGATTCTGCTCGCCTTCTTCAGAGATCTGATAGACATTAACGATATACTTGCGACCAGGAAGCAAGTCAGGGATGTTGACAGAAGTGGCTGTGCTTGGAAGATCTAAAAGAGGTAGGAAATAAACACTGCCTTAGAAATGTTGCCTTGTTGCTTTCTTATCAAATGACAGAGAATTCCGTTCTAATCTGGGCTGAATCATCTTCCTGAAGTAAAAAAATTGCTCTGCGCTGTAGCCTCAGTTCACAGCAGGGAAGTTACGTGGAAAACATCTGATGGGAAACTGGGAAGTGCTTCCATTTGCCTGAAGGCCTCTATCTGTAGACAGATATGCTCAGGAACCACTTCATAACATAGCTCAGCTGTCTGGGCAGCTGGAGTGTACAGACAAGAAGGGTGGTGATGGCATTGGCAGCCCTAGTGTAAGCTCACGAGTCCAAATCTTTGAGTTCAGAAGGCAGCAGGCAAGGGAGAATTACTAAGGTCAGAGGAGTACTCTTCTTTTTCTCATGCTGTTCTTCCACCACATGCACATGTCCTAGTAGCTACAGTAACATCAAATCCTTGTGAGATGCTACTATTATGATTGTTAAGACAGGAAATTAGGAAAAAGAGGTTAAGATGAAGTTACGTATGGTGAGAGAGGCTTCCTATCAGATGTAGTAAAAGTGAATCCACTTCCCGGGTCTAAGTCCAGTGCTTTTAACAAGCTTCCTGGCTTAGCTAAGTTATCACATTATCAAAGCCTAGTAAGATCTGATCCAAACTAAACAACAGAGTGGTCTGGGACAGACATCCCTGAGATCATGAGTAACCAAGAGGGGATTTGGGAAAGATTGTTTTCAGTTTTGATGCACGGACAAAAAAAACAACAAGGAAGTTAGCCAGGTGGTAAGCTCAAAGATTTGGGTCTCTCCTCATCTGCCTTCACTACACTGTGGAAGCTAGTAAGTTTAAAACAAATTGATAAATAAAAAATGCTGAAAAGAATACATCTACACATAGCTTTTACAAATGTACCACCTCTGGCTCAGTGAGTCCCACAAGAGTATTCTGAGGGAGTGTAGCTATATACATGCCTTCTTCCACTTTTCTTTGGACTTGACCTTATGGCCATCGGTGGACAAAGAACAGTCAAGTAGGTGAGTTTGTAACCCATGCTAGCCCTCCACTGTCACACCTTAACTGAAGGACAGCAAGATCCTCACTATTTACACCAGCTATATTGACTGTTACAGAAAACAGTGATGCTGTGAGTGACGCTCGGATCTAATAGACTCAAATACTGTCTCACCAAGATATTGTGGCTCATCACCCTCCTCGCTGAGTTCATACTCAACACGGAATCCAGAAACTGTGTCAGAAGCAGAAACCCAAGAGACAACAAAGCTGCTGGCTGTGATTTCGGTGACTGACTCTGAAGTAGCAACCATGGGAGGAAGAAGAGTTGTCTCTCCTGAAACAGTGTTGCCTGAAAAGAGAAGAAAGAGGTTTGGTTAACCGTTGTCACTGTGTTAACTGGGATTCAGGAAGTAGCCTAGAGTTCTCGCAGAAGGATGGCAGGTTTCTCTGGATGCCAGTCCAGTCCCACTGTTCAACTCACTTGTCACTGCTGTAGTGCTAGTTGTGGTAAAATCAAAGCGTGTGACTTCTTTGGGTCCGTGCTGCTGAACACTGATAAGCTGTCCTTCATACACCACACCAGGCTTCAGGCCAGAGATGGTGTAGGAGTTCAGGTGACCAGGGATAGTAGCTTCCTTCCAGTGCCTTCCAGAGTTTTTCTGCAAGAACAAGGATACCCGTTGATATACAGTGAAAGACTCCATGGCCTGCAAAGCAGGCCTATCTAGTGACTCAAGGTCTGTATGACTTGAATGCCTCATGAACAGAGAGAAAGCAGAAAGGTGTGCCAGAAAGCAGAGACAATAACTTCTTGGGTGATTATAAATTCTACTGCGGTAAATCAAAAAGCAATCTAGCTTTGAACTTTATTTCCTTTAAAATGAACTTTGTAACGTATAAACTAAAATTATTTTTCTATCAAAAAGACAGGAAGGCATGAGGGAATGGCTGAGAAATCCTTATCTGAAATTTGTTCCCAAGAGAACTCCAAGCCATCGTCTTAAAAGAATATACCAAAAAGTTTGTCCCTTCTTCCCTATGCTTGATCTTTATGGGAAGCCCTACAATAGTGCTTCATCCTCTGAGGTTTGTATTCCAGTGCATTAAAGTCCATTTCTTTCAGGCCTTGATCCAAGATACACTGAAGTTAGTAAAATACTCGAGTGCTTTTAATGGCTTTGGATCAAGGCCTTTATTGTTCTCTTAATCACAGGCAGCACTGAGGTACTAGTGTACTTAATCATTAAGTGGTCTTTTGTGAAGCTATACTCTGGGGAACTGTAATATTAACTGTATCATTCATCAGAACGAATTATTCCTGAGGGATGAACGAGCCAACAAGCAGTGGTTAACCAGCTTTGCTTAGACACTGCAGAAGATGGGAGATGACTAATTACTTAATTCTCTCCTAGCTGTTATTATCTTTGTATCCTACTCATTACCTGCTCATTAACTGCATGTAACATATTGTAGTTCTCATCTCTGCACTAACACACTGAGAAAGCTTTTGCAAGGGTTTACATTGTTTAAAGTGAGGAAGGACATAAAGTTGTCTTAACAAGTGCTCTTGTTAATATAATACTACACAAGCACGGTGACCAGTAGTAATGTTTGGGCAGGAAAACATCAAGTGTTTATACAGCACAGGTTGTTAACAGTTGACCTCAGCAGGACAAGGACAGTGAATTAGCACTCTACAGTAAGAGCACTCTGCAAGTAAAAGCCTGGAGCTGTGGATTCCTGGAGCTCTGAATGTATCTACAGGTCCAGCTGAATGGAGCACTCACCGGTCTCCAGCGCAGAATGTACTTGCTGATGTGAGACGTTTTGGGAGCGTTCCACTGGATGGGGTGGGAGTTTGGCTGATTCGTACTCTCTGTAATGATCACCTGAACAGGTCCAGTTGCTCCTGAAACACAAATTTGCCATTCTTAACATAATGGAGATGGTTTTCTTCCACATTTGTTGTTGAGTCATTAAAAAGGCATGGGCTGCATACTACTTAATACGTGGAAAACCAGTCAGACTGTATTTCTCTCTTTAATGGTTTCAGCTAGAAAATGGATGAATTAGAATACATTCTGTGGAGAAGTCAGCATGTCCTGTTTGGGTTCATTTCCTGTGTCATGAAGTAGTGAATTGGAACGACTCAACATACAAACAGGATCAGGTCCATACGCTCATGAACATACAAGTTCAGCAGGGCTCTAACACTTAAGGCTGCCAACTTCTCATTAACACATTTAGTTAGATCGGGCTCCATCAAAACCTCTTCACAAGGCTCTCTAACTGAGAAGAAAAGGTTTTAGGATTTGTTGGTTCTCTTTTCAGTACCTCCCTGCCCTGCTGGGGAGGTTTCACTGAACACTCAGCAACACTGCACTTGTGTTAGTTCTCAGAAAATCCCATCACAGAGCAGCATGGAATCTGCAACAAAGTGTGTTGTTTCGGCCATTAAATACCTACAGCCTTCCCTCACTCCCAGCATTTCTATTTATAATTTATTTGGACAACTGTGTGACATATATACCTGCTACATATTTAACAGGACTTCCAGGCAAATAAACCTGTGCCCACACAGAATTTCAAAGCTCCCCTAACCCCAAAGCTACATTCAGAAACATTAGATTTGGTTTATTTACACATTTGCAGTCACTCTTGTGTCTATAGAAAGCCTAAATCCCCGGTCTCCAGTCTGGAGGCATGCATATTTCACATAGCTCAAGGGGATGTTTGTTTAAGCAGTCTGACAAGAGTCAATGAAGCTCAGCAATCCTGAATAAGAAACTGAGGGGGGGGGAGGAGGGGAAATAAGAGTAGAAGCAGCCTGTTTCCTATTCGCGCCATTGTTAGTTCACTGCCCCAAAGAAAAGCAGCTCCTAGGTCTGCCTGCCAGGTGTCTTACTGCCATACAGCCAGTAAGCCAGAAACAAGGCAATAGGAAAAGGGGTAGTCCCTTCTCTTGAGGTTCAAATTCCCTTTCTGCTATTATAGGGCACTTATGGGATAAATACATTGCAGTTACTGTGTGGACAGATACTTCTAAATCTATCCTGGCATAAGAACAGGGAATCAGCTCGCACTGAAGCTGGTACATGCAATTCTTAAGCAGTTCCTCCACAAATAAGCTTAGAAATGTGTTAGGGAACCCATGACATGAGCACAGCTTCCTCCCAACAGAGTAGGAGCAATGCAACATTAATATGCCATCTTTTTCAGATGGAGGCAAAGACAGGTGCAACTTGAAACAGGCAGGCGAAGAGGCTCCCCTTGTTTCAGAGAACTGGAAAAGAACAGCCCAACTGACAGAGTCATTGCCCATCTATATGAAGACCTCCTGGAACTGAGCAGGCAAACAAAGTTCAAGTATTTGATTTCTTCAGGGCACTGATCAGGGAAAATGCTCCATTGTTTGGTGGATTTTGCTACTGTAGTGAGTGTAAAAGGAAAGGCTGTAGATGCAAGTTTTAAGCAGCAGAATCTGAAGGTTACAGATGTGACACTGCTAAGCACTAAGAGGTGATGAAAAGCAAAGCTGTTGTGTGATAGTCATGCTTTCAGCTAAGCCTGGCCTCAGGAAAAGCTGTTAACAATCTGGCACTCTCTTTATAATCATAACACCTATTTGTGTCTGCCAAGAAGGTGGGGGGAAAACGTTCTGTTTAAAAAGGAAACCAAAAGGATCTCTTGAGCAGTTAAAGAATACCTCCCTAAGGTTGGAAGTACCTGCACATTATAAACCATAAGCAGACCTGGAAAACTACAGAAATAAAATTTTGGTTTCTTTGATACACAGTGAATATCACTTCCACTTAATAGGACTTGACAACTATGTACAATAATGTGCAGGAACCTGAACAGGTCAGGGATAGAGAGATTGCTCTCCTTATGTCTTAGCAGAAGAGCCATCTGTTGGGTTTCTTACCAGCATAGGCTTGCAGAGGCTGGCAGTGCCACTCTCCAATACCACGACCATAGCAATAGCACTGGTATCTGACACCATGGACGTACTTCTCCCAGGAATCTCCAATTTGGTAGAAGGTACGGGTTTCAGAATCCTGGCACTGATCTAAAGGCAGAAAATAGACAGGTAACCACTGCGTGATATCAAAACCATTGTGAAAAACCTACATCAAACAGAAGAGTAGGTCAGAAGAAATCTTCTGACAGAAAATGCAACCACGTTTATTTACAAACATTGCTGCATGAAGAGTAAATGGCAACAAACTGAATCTGGAATCAAGGTTCCTGATACGTATCTGCATGCTTGAAGACAAATACCAGGCGGCTTCAGTCAACTGAGTTCATCTTTAATCCAAAGCTAAACAGTGCTGCTCTCCAGGAAATCAGTGGCAAAATCTCCACTAGCTTAAGCACCATTCAGTCATATGTACGTCTGAAATGATCCATTAATATTCACAAGTCATTCTAGACTTATCATCTTGTAAACTGAAGAAGGACAAAACAAATCTGAAATCTACTTAAGCTAGTGGGAATACCATGTTGTAGCAATGCTTCAGTACACTTTCTAGTCTGACCTCTGCCCGTGTCTCTGGCTCTATGCAAGTTTTCAGTGAGAACTAATGTTATTCTTCTTTAGTTAACAGGAGTCTTGTTTAGAGAAAACCATCAAAATTAAACCAATTTCACCTTTACAGAGAACTGAAATCATCTCCCCTTCTTTCAAAGTACTGATTTTCAGGGACTTGACAATCCAAATTCTTCCAGTAAAATTGTATAGATATTACTGTAAATAAAGCAGAATTTAACCACTGCTACTTGCTAACAGATTTTCCTGGCAATAGCCCCAGGTTCCCTAGATCCAGTAATTGCAAGTCAAACAGTCATGTCTTATCTTCCAACTCTGATTCACTAGAGAAGAGGAGAGGCAGAAAAGATGAAATCTCTTCATTCCTGCACAGAGCCATGATGGTTTTAGCTAACCTCCAGAGTGCTATTAGCACATGTTCTCATCCTGAGCTTGCTTTCTTTGCCAGAACAAAGGGCATCCAAAAAAAAAAAAAAATCAATTTAGTCTGAGGTAAGTGAATATACGCCGGTCATGTTCTTCTTTCAGTTCAATAAGGAGACCTAAAGACTTCAAGATAGAGAAAAACCACACCTAGCATCACCAGCTCCCTGCACATTGATTTATCAGTACTCAATCTGAGCACCCTGCCTGTTAACAGCACAAGGTACCAGACTCCAGCCAATTCAGCCCAGTCTGGGGTTCAGGTGCCCTGTTACCTCAGCTTGAAGAGTGGTATATTTTAAAAGACATGCTGCATGATGGAATTCTTGTAGGGCATGTCTGATAACACAAGCTTACTTCCCGAAAACCACGAATGCCATCTCGCATGCCTCCAACAAACACAGCATTACTCCTACTTTCACAGTTATGCAACAGAAGGCAGGAAACTGGCAAAGGCCGAGTCCACGTTCACACACCAGTTTCACCACACTGCAGTCAGTTCTTGTCAAACACGGGCTGTGCAAGTGGGGACAGCTGTGACTTACCAACGGGATCGCACTTCCATCTCCCGCGGCCTTGGCCAAAGCACGTGCAGTTCAGCATGTGCCCCTCATCGTGACGCTTGTGGAACGTCTGGTTCACATCATAGGTGATACCATCCACGATGCACTGATCTGTTTGAGAAAGAGCAGAGATGTTTTGTCAGCAACAGCTTTAAGCAGTAAGACAAAATCCTTCTGCTTGGCACGTATTTCCCTCCTCTTGATCAGCTTGCAGAGAGTAACCCTGACAAGCTTCATCCATGCAAAACGGAGCCCTTCTGGTATCTGTGATCATGGCAGATTACTGCTGCATACACCTCACTGCTCCTGAGTTCATTTATCAGCGGTGTGCAAACAAGTACCACTTGCAGAAAAAAAGGTCCATAGGATTCAGTCCAAAGCAGAATCCATTACTCACTATGAAACTGCCTTACAACAGATTCCACGCGTGAAAGAATGTAAAGCATCACACTCCTTCACTACTATCTCTTGGGGAAGTCTAGATTGGAATACTTTGTTAAGTACTGTGTGAAATCATTAGAACTGCACAAGAAGGAAAGGGCTACTCCAAATTCATGAAAATGTCAAGCTGAGCTACAAATATGCAACAGGAAAACATCATAAGCATCTCTCTGCTATGCCTCGTAGTTAGCTGAAGACTGAAGCTTGAAAGACTATTATATATACAAGATGCTAATGGTGCCTACTAATATACTACTCCCTCAGAGCACAGTAACCAGACTCCATGCTAATTATTAGGTTTAATGGAGATATGTCAACCTGTGACACGGCCCAGAATTCCTGAAGCCAGCCTAATCACAGCAAGGAGCACCAAGACAAAACAAATGATAAAACCACCCCAGAAGCATGTTGTTTTGTTAAGCAGGACCCAAGAGACCCAAGTTCAGTTCTGGATTCAGTCACAGACCATCTGTCCTTGGGGAAGTGACTCAGTTAATCCCAGGCCTTCTTTCCCCGTCATACTTTCCCACAACACAAGCATGGCGTCAGGATAAACCAAACACGGGTCACATCCACCAATGGGGGCTAAGGACCTCCTCCAGTTGCTATGTTTTAAAAGTTCTACTTAGATAACCTTTGCCTTTTGAAAAAAAACCAATATCCATGTCATCGTCAACAAGAAAGACCCGTTCAACTTGAGAAGCAAACAGCACAGAACTAGCTGTGCTTCTAGAGAAAGGAGTTTCACAGACCAGAAAAAATTCTAGCAGAGCATTTCTCATCGTTCTGAAGGAGACACATAAAAAACCCTCCTAAAGCCCTTGAATGGACCTTTCCCTATAAATTACATCCCATTTCAGCAGTGGTATTAAGAGTTATTTCTTGGCTGCTTGTCAGCAACCCCCCTGCCTTTTCCAGATACCAAGCCAATGCCGTGAGCTAGCTGAAGGATGATCAAATATCTGTGCTTTTAAGTCTTTTTTTGGTATTGCTTCAGCACTTCTCCACTCGGGCCTCTTATTTAAACAAGTAAATAAGAGTAATGTCAGTGCTGTCCTGCCAACTTTTCATATAGATTAGCTCGTAAAGGGATTCATCCAGCAGAGCAACCGAGCATTTCACTGCAGAACGATAATACAGGATGGTTCTGCATTCAAACTTTAGACTAATCTGGGGTTGTGTCTGTTCTTGAGAGGTTTCTGCTGAGATCCCTTTAAAGTCTCAGTGGCACTGACTGCTAACAATAGACAATAGGTAGAGCTAGATACTGATCCAGCTAGTCAACGTTTTTCCTGGCTTGCTAGCCTACAAAGGCTGAAATGGTACTTTCACAGCATGGAATCAAGACAAGAGCTTTACACATCCCCTCTGATTCCCTTTGGATTCCACAGAAAAGATGAGTAATATAAAACTGAGTCTGGGCTTGAATTCCCCGTGATGGGAAAGAAAACCTATTTCTTCTGTATCCCCAACGCTTAGACCAAAGCAGTGACACCAACACGAAAAGCAGTACCTCTGAGCTGGGAGTATGCAATGCAAGTCCACTCTCCACGGCCATTTCCTACGCAGGTACACCTCATCATGTGGCCCATGTCGTGTTGTTTATCCCACTGGTCCCCAACACGATACATGATACCATCATTGGTGGTGCAGATTTCCTCATGGGCTGGTTGGGAAGAAAGCAAGAAAACACTTCATGAGGTCATAGTTAACAAGGCACTGAGGAGGCTTATATCATTTGCATGCCATGTACTGGTTTCTGCATCTTAACAAGAGCGTCGTAGGCATCTATGGAATTTCAAATATCATTTTTGCAGGAGGGTGAGTGTAGATTCCCTTGCAGGGGTTCATTCATTTAATTTTCACTTGAAAGTCAACAGAGATTCTGTATGGCATTCAAAGGGTGCTGTGTGAAACGATCAGCTCTCATTATGGGTCTGCTGTTATATGAACATAGCCATTGGAAGAGCTGAGTGTTCATCAAGCTGTTTAAGAGCTCAGATGCTGCACTGCCGTTAATCACAACACCTTTCATTTCAGAACTCCCACGAGTTGGAGATCAGAGATGTGCATGGACTGGAGAAATGGACCACGACATAGTGCAGACATATTCCTAACCACACATCAGGTAAGAGGAAGTGATGAGCCATGAAGGAGAAGCTTTGGCAGATGCAAGATAAAAAAAATCACTTGCTATCAAGCAACATAGTTCAATGTTTCTTAATGGACCTACAACACTCTGTACCAGCTGAAAAACATGCCTAGCTTGCAGCAAATGAGGAACAAAAATAGCCTTTTCCTGAGTCCTCACTAGAAGTGATTAGCTGGGAGGAAAACAGGACAAAAAGCTTCAGAAATTCCTTCAAGGTTTTTGGGCCTGGATGCAAGCTCAAACTGGAAGTCATCAATAACTGACCAACGACAGACAGCTCCTTACTTTCCAGCTCAAAGAGCTACGTGCAAGCAATTATAACCCCTTTACGGTTCTCATTCTTACCAGCCATAGGGCAGAAGCCAAATTTCTGGTCGGCATCATAGTTCTCAGTGGTTCCACACCACTTCATGTTGTCTCTCCGTCCCTCAGAAGTACAGTCGGTATAGTTGCGGTTGTTGTACAGGAAAGGGAAGTGGCACAGAGCACCATTGGAATTGCCACCACGTGTCTGGACCAAAACTGGAGATGAAAAGGAAACAGATGCAAATCAAACCTACGCTCTCCCATAGCATGCAGAGAACAGCTTTAAAAACAAACCGCTAGCACTGTTTTTCCCATGTGTACTCTGTATGGTATTCTTCACTAGCCTCTTTTATTGGATTTAATTAATTCAGATCTGGAAATATAAGCCTTGCACGAGGTCAGTTCAGTTCAAACATTGCTTTGGAAAGAGTTGCTGGACTCAGCCATGGGATTTCCTGGGGAATATGGAAAACTAAAGCTCACAGTGTTTGGGAAGTGGCTTTGCAGACCCTTTGTACCAAAGTCTAGAGAATCAAATAACCCCACAGTTCTCAGCATATCTGTATTATCTCACTGAGACTATTACTCAACTGTGCCCTTTGGCTTAAAGAAAAATCCTGGATGTCAGGAAAGGGTTACAATTCATTTATGAGCAACAGGACAAGTCAGAAACTCTCAGCAGGTTGAAAGCTTCGTGTTTTGCAACCATCAGTGGAAAGAGGGCTCTAATCTATGTAAACTATTCATCTGTTGTACAACTCTGGTTTATAAATAATAGAGAACAAGGAGGCATTTGCTGAGGTTTTTAGCTATATCAATATTTCTTAATCCCCACAGAATACCACAAGAAGCCTCGTTAAAGCAAGAATGTGTGTGCATGTCCATATGTGGACAAGGGACCAGGTTTTTTAGCTTTGTATTTGTTGGGTTTGTTTTGTTCTTCAGAAAGAAAGAGTATTGTATGTGCTGTGCAGAAAGGCTTGTCATTAAAAAAGAAATGAGGTAGAAGAGCATTTTAAAAGTCTGTACAGTGTAAGAAGCAGTAATTTTGTGCTGGAATGTGAAAAATTCTCTCTAAGTTCAGACTGCAGAGAAGCCTGCCTGGATACTGCTCCACAGATGCCTGATGGGCTGTCCAGGAAGTACAACCACACAGGTAGATTTGCACTGTGAAGGGAACGCTGACCATCCACAGATGCAGCAATGCTGCTGCGTTAGTCATACACCAGCTTTTGATCACAGCAATCACAAATCACATTAAGATTGCTGCTATATATGGCAACCTGGCCAGATAGTCACTAGCGAGGCAGTGACAGAGAACTGCACAAGTTGTACTCTATGGATACCCTCTTCTTTGCAACCTAATATGGGCAATGCTGTAGCAATTCAGCCAAGTAGAGACAAAGTCCACATATCCTTCGAGCCAAAGCTCTGTCTTGACTAAGTATTCATGCTCTACGGCCAGCCTGAAGAACAGAGGACATGACTCAAAGGCTACACCTGTGTCACCCTGAGCACCCTCCAACGATGCCAAGAGTGTAAAAATGCTCTGCCTCCAGACAGCCCTCCATTCACGTAACTGCCTTGCTGTTAAGGCATGCCTCGAGTCCCTCCAAACTGCCGGGACTGTTCAGACAGCTACATGCTTTTGTTCTTTCCTCCACGAAGGCCACGTGCATGTGAAGACCCTCTGAGAAGGACTCACCATTCTGCTCAGTACAGAAGGAGTATCTCCTGTCCTGCTCAAAGTTGGAAGTGGTGCTGCACCAGAGGTGCCCATCTGTGCGGCCTTCAGTGGTGCAGGAGTAGAAAGTCCTCCCGTTGTAGGTGAAAGGCAGAACACAAGGTTCTCCATCAGAATTGCCACCATATGTTTGGGTCACAGCTTTGAAATAAACAAAGTACAGGATTAGACTCCAGCTTAAAGCAATCCCCAAATCTTAGGGCTCTAAAACAGCAACAGCCCCTCTGGGTCAAATCACTGGCTGCTATGAACCCACAATGACTGCCATGGACTTGGGCCAATACACACCAAGAGAAGACTTAGTCCCACAGCTGTGTCATTCCTCTACATTCTTTTCTAAACATATATTACTGCAGCTTGGTTTGAAAAAAATTATGAATGCTGTTCCCCATGGGCCTCAGCAGTGTTATATATATAACTCACTGGGAAATATTTCTGCCCTACAGAATCAGGCTGCAAGTAACCAAAGCAACTATTTATTTCTTCACCTCTCGCATCTTTTTCCAGTATGTCCTCTTTAGCAGACCTATGATACGCATACAAAGAGACTCCCCATCAAAACAAAACCACAGATCTCACTGGACAGAACAGGCACTGAACAAAAACTCATACCTATTTCCTGGCAGCTGACTCCATTGCCCAGACAAGTACAAAGCATTTGTTGGCTGCCCTGCGTCTTCAGCCACTGCATACCCACAGAATACACCACTCCGTTATCAGTTACACAGTGGCCATGTGGCTGAGGTTGGGGCTGTTGAGGCTGAGGCTGGTACAATGCTGTCTGTACATTTGTGAAGCTGGGAGAGCCAGATCCTGCAGTAGAACATGGGAGAGAAGTGAGACGTCACATGCAGAGCTGAAGAACAGAATGCTTCAATTAAATGCTGAGACAAACTCCTACGCACTGCATCAGATTGAAGACATCACTCTTGACCTCCCTAGACACATTTTAATTATTCCATTTGGTAAACTTCAAAATTAAAAGAACAACCCTCTCTCCTGCTAATGATAGCCTCTGGTTTCTACCACCTTTGAGTTGCTTTAGAAAGGATTAAGATGGCCAACTGCTCAGACAACAAAGAACTACTGATACAGCAGGGAGAGAACACAAAAAAAGCCAAACAAGGGTAGGATTCATTTTGATTTTTTCACTGAAGAAGAAAAGTAACACTGGCTGTCTGCCTACACTATGGATGTTTTTGATAAAGATTCCCACAGCAGTCTTCACAAATTCAGGTCTGCTGAGGTGCAGTAAGCAGAACACTGACACCATTGAAGTGATACGCCTTTTGAAGTTCGTACCTTCTGAGAGTTTGAAGCTAACCTGCTGGTGCTAATGAGTTAAAAGTCATTAATCAAGAAAATGTCAGTGTCGTTTCTGTAGAAAAACAGAAGCTTTACTGCAGACACCAGAAGAAAATGGCAAAAAGAACTTAGAAGGTAAAGACTTTGTTAAGCCTTGGGCAGGAAATAGATTATCTATAAAGCAGGTAATATTTCATACCAAAATTACAAACTATCTATGTGCACTAAACTGCACTGTATACATACTTTGGCATTTCTGTTTTTTAAAGCCTAACCATTAGTAGATGCATTTATCTTGTCAAAGAAACCAGATGGTCTCAGTGGAATTTAAATTAAGGGCATTTCAAGGCAGTTACCCTGAGGCAAATACATGAAGTTCAAACACTAACTCAAAATGCCGTGTTTTTAAAACAAAGCTAGTAGATATTTCCTGTAGATGCACGGTTCTACATGTGATTTACTGCACAGTGATTGTGCAGGCAATCACATCTGTATGTGCAAGCCCCAGCTGTGCAAGGAAGCCAAGTGTAATTAATTTTACCTACACAAGCACAAACAAGGAGCATCTCCTGAATTCTAACCCTCTGTGCTGCTGGTCTTTCTCTGACAAGTTTGCTACATGTCAAAAGTAGGACGGTGCAATTCAGCACCATCTCCTAGCCACTTCAAGCATGCCCTTCATTGCTCCTGACCCTACTTTGCTCCATGTCCCACTTACCAGTGCTAGTTGTATGCAGAGATGTGTGCCTTTCGCATTTCCATTCACCTCTGCCGTTACCAGTACAGATGCACTGAAGCAAGTTCCCCCGGTTGTCCTTCTTGCTCCAAGTGTCTCCAATTCTGTAGGAAGTCTTGGTGTCTTGGTCATTGCACCTATCTGTACAAGGAACATGATTATTAGATATTTCTGCATTGGATGGCTTCACTGTGCCATTGATAGTACTGAAACATCAACACCATCGAACGTGCCGATAGTTTAAAGCCTTTATTGAGAGCCAACCTTTCTTGCAGCCCACTATTACAAGCCCTATATACTCTAAAACCTGTGTTAAACTGCATAGGCTGAGAGACCACAAAAATCCTGATGGTAAAAATAAATCAACTTGTTTCAATGCCTTGCTCAGCAGGAATAAACCAGAACCTATTGGAGGGCAACATGTTAAATATCACTTTTTCCAGAAGAAGTGTTTGGAAAGCTGTCAGTAAAGTTAATACCAGCTGCTCACGTCAAAACAGCAGTATCAGACATCCTAAATCTCCCCGTTGTCTTTATTAACTCGCAGCCCCCACTGAATTGAATAAACAGGTTCAAAGGACAATGTAACAAACTACTTTTGTCTGGATGCCAGACACACAAGGATCAACTAGCTCTTCCATTACCGTGTTTTATGCTCTCATTCAAGGAGAACTTGATACAGTGGCTCAAATATAATCACAGATCAATGCACATGGATTTATGAAGAACTGTGGAAGGACGTATGCATCACCCCAGCCTGCCACTAAAACAGCACTCAGAATAAAATATCAATGTGGAGAACATGTTACTAATTCATTGCTTAAAATGACCAAAAACGAAGTAATTTATCACAAAATTGGTGTCAAGTATTCAGAAAGTAATTCAGCAAATGTGTGTGTGGGAAAGGGGCTGGGGATGCAACCTGTCTTACAGATATCCACATTTTCCAATTAGGCAATGAAAAGCTGAAATGTCCCCTCAGAATTCAGCAGTGATTCTAGAAAACTCTGGCCATAAAAGATACCTAACAGCATGTATTCTGAAGCATAATGACACTTTCTGGGCTGCAGCTATCATCTAACATACGCAGATTCAAATTCATATATTTAATTACATTCAAGAAATAAAATGAAAAATGAACAGGTCATTATATTACAATTTCCCTACAACACAGCAATGCAGATCTGAGTTATGGGAGGAAAGATACTGCCAAATCATTTTTATTAGTAATAATATCTCCTCAAATTCACAAACAACGCATTCTGTTTTATTCGTTCCTGTTTGACAGCTAATGATATTTCCCCATGTGCTGGATATTGGGAAGGCTGGTTTGGTTTTTATGGCTTGTTTCTCAACCAAGCCTCTCCAGATACTCAGTTTTAATCCCAGGCCTCCTCAGAGTTTTAGTTCCTTACAGGTCTGCTGTTTACATCAGCAGAAAGCTATTATCTGTGTTTCCCAAGGCAACTGAATGGGAGGCAATTTAAAGAGCTCCTCAAAACTTGCCCAACAGAGGTGGAAGGTACAAAGTTCAACTTCTCTTGAGGAGACTGCTGTAAACTGACAGCTCCACAGCAGAGCCCGTTCCAGGCAAAATTCAAGCAGAAGCCAGGCAAAGCAGCGAGACTTTGGATTTTACAAGGCCAGTCCGCTTTGCAAGTGCTAAAGCAACAGCATATTGACAGTAACGTGGTTCATCTTACTTCTGGAGGTGCAGGTGATGCGGCCGCTGCCCTCCCCCAGGCAGGTGCAGTCCACCATCATCCAGCCCTGGTAGGGCTTCTCCCAGGTCTCGCCCACCACATAGGACGTCCCGGCCGTGTTATCATAGCACCTCTCAGCTGAGGGAGAAAAAAGGGTCAGTGTTTGTGCCCCCTATGGAACCAGAGACAGCCCAGCTGAGGGAGGACAAAGCCATCACGTACCCAAGGGCTTGCAGGTCCACTCGCCCTTGCCGTTGCCCAGGCACACGCACTCCAGCAAATAGCCACCCGTCTCGTGAGGCCGACGCCAGGTATCGCCGATCTTGTAGGACTTGCCGCCTTCATGGCAGCGATCTGAGGGTGGGAGAGAGGGGAGCTGAGGTGAGGAGCACCGCCACAGCCAGCACCACGGGGATGTGGGGCCTTCACAGGAAGTAGGAAAAGGTTTGATCACGGCAGAGGTGAAGGAAGGAGGAAGAAGGTGAGGAGAAGGGCCGATCACGGCTGCCTCTTTCATGCTGCAAAATGGCGGCCGCCCTTTTCCTCAGAGGGCGCCATTTTTCCCTTGGCGCCACCTCAGCCCATCCAAGCCCTGTCCTCTCTCCTCAGGTAATCACTGCCAGGTTTCAAACCACAGACAAGACTGACTGCTGAAACGGGGCTAGCAGGGCCCAAGGAGACGCCTCATCCTCATGAGGGTTTGCCTCCATCTTGTACAGACAGGGAGACGCACACTGACAGCTATCCCACACAGCATGAGGCATGCAGCAGCCAGGCCAGCGTGCGGAGGAAAAGGTAATGCCCTGGTGACATTGCTCCTCCTGGGTTTAAAAATCCTGCCCCCAAAAGGCCAATTCCCAGTCTACTCACACCTCGTGGGCCTGAGGTGTTTGGGTCCCACTGCTCAGCTTAGGCCCCGGAAGGGAAATGCAGTGAACAGCAGTTAGCAAACCAGATCCTCTTCCAAGGAAAGAAGCACACGTCTGGTCATTTATTAGGAGCCACTAAAATGTTTCATTGGCTCATTTATGAAAGCAGGCAATCTAAGAGTTGTAAAGATTGATTCCAATCCAGTCGCAGTCAATGAGACTCTCCAGTGAGCCCTAAACCAGGCTGATGATGAAGAAATGAGACTGCCCTTATGTCTGCAATTTCCTTACTGACTCTTTCTTTTCTTACAACACTTATCATCCCTGCTCAATAAAATGCCAGTACATTCCAAAGGGCTCCAGATATATTTGATGCATTTCTTTCCATGCTATGATGATGGCTGACTTTTGAGCCCTCTGTGGCAATGCTGTTGGGCTCAGCACTGTGTCTTAAACAAGAAACTGAATAGCTGTAAGAAAGACTTTTTCCAAAGGTGCCTAAGGGACTCTGAAATCTCAGACCAAAGGACCTGACACACAGAAAACTTCATCTGCGCTCAGAGAAAGTCTAATTATGAACTGAAGGGAAATTGTGAACAATTCAGTGACTCAATACGGAAAGGATTTCCAGACAGAGACAGATGTGAAAGGGAAAGCTGTGCAGAAAGAAACAAGCATGGGGCAGACAGGTAAAAATGAAATTGCAGAAGCACAGAGCTGACTCAACGGATATCAAACCCTTGTTCCCTTTGAGACCACGGCTGGCATGATGTTTTTAGAGGCTAAAGGGAATGGCTTCCAAGTGCTCAATATTTTGAATATCCCTATTAATGTTTATAGGGTAATTTCGACTCGATAGCAGGCTAGACCCTGATGTTTATGCAAGTATATTTTGACTGGGAAAATGAGTCTGTGAAGATGCAAGACATTCCTGTGTATATTAAATGTACTAACGTGCATGGCTGGACACTAGCAGTCATCCTGGCCTATGTTTTTATACATAGGACTTTACACCTCTTAAGCAGAGGAGGAGTTTGGTTTTTAAAGTGTACATACATGGGGCAAGGACTTTCACTTACAAGATTTTAATGCGCTTTGGATCAAATCCCCCTAACTCTAGCTAATAGGCACTGGAAGAATTGTGAAAATGGCTCTGGAAAATGTGACAAAAAGGAATGAGCTCTAGTAACAGGCTCTTGGTTACATACTGGCAATGGTGCAGCTGATTCTCCCACGTCCAGCTCCAATGCAAGTACAGTCCCAGATCATGGAGTCCTTGGGGCGCTCATAAGTCTCCCCTACTCGGTAAGTGGATCCAGTGTATTTGTCAAAGCAAGTCTCTTCAGCTATAAAAGAAGAAAAATGAACTTCATGAAACCACTCTAGTAACTGCACTGTCAACAAAAATGCATGTTCTTCACCTCCTCACATGGACGCTCTCTTTTGCTGGGGGAGTATCAGCCTCCTCTCTCCTCCTCGCTGCTGAACAACCACAGCTTCCCTCCCACAGTGAGCCAGGGGTTGAGCATGGCACCTGGGCCGGCATGCCCTAAAGGATCAACCCCAGCTGTTTGAAGTGCAACAGTACAGAACTCAGAGGGGAGCAAGTATTCCCCAGAAGCTGTGGGTTTTGACATGCTAATCCACTTCTTTTGAGTGCATTAATCCTGAATTCTGCAGCAGCCCCGCCGAAGTCAAAGGGGCCCGCTTGTGACCTGTTCACACTTGCCCAAGCCTATGTGATTACCGAAGGGTTGTAGCAGCTCTGTCAAACAACTTGAAGTCTCCAACAGAACAATGCTGTGGACCTCACTACCAGACAAGTAAAGCTAAGTGTGCTACTGGACTTTGGAAACGTAAAACTTGGGAATACCCGGGGAGGAAGAAAATGTAGAATAAACTCTTTTTTTATGGAGGAGCAAGGGGACTGAGCACTCCTTGAAATACCCTAGCAGTGCTTTACTCAAGTCTCGCCTAACAGATCTCTGAGATGCTCCCATCTGTCTTACATGAACGTTATCAGCCAGGAAGCCAGTTTCTCTCTTGCATCTCCAGAGCAAGATAAAGGAATTACAGCAAACCAATGGCTCGAGACCAAATACAGATAGCACGCATCTGATTACCACGCTGTATTCCAGAGAGACGCATCTTCCAGCAGACGTCACGTTTAAAGTTTTTTCAGTTACCTAAACTTTTACTGCAGAAGACTAAACAATCTCATTTTACACTCAATGATGGAACGCTCACAGCACAGGCTGGGGGGCTGTGGAAAGTTGTAAGCTGAAATATTTTTAAACAGGCTGACGACACCGCACAGCTATGAGAAGTTGGGGTGAAGTGATCAAACTGCACGGAGCCAGAGCTGCAAAGCGACTCCAGATTTGAGCTTCCCCGTGCGAGCGGAGTCGGTTCAGTTCATTATAAGGAAGAGGTTGGCTCCAAAGTTAATGTTTAGATCCAATCCTCCAGAGAGATGAGTGATGTTTGGCTTGGGGTTCTGGTGGCAGGCCCATCTCTAATGAAAAGCATTTCTTAAAATCCTAAGCCAGATCTTCAGTGTAATTGAGAGTAGATCCGTTAGCTGACCCTAAGGACCAAACTCCAGCTACAAACCCGGACTGCTCGCTGTAACTCAATCTGCACCAAAAGCCACTGCAGCTAAAACACCAACTTACGTTCGGGTTTGCTTTCGCAGTTAAACCCTCTGCTTCCACCGTAGCAGGTACAGACCAACGTGTTCCCCAGGTAAATGCGCTCCCACTGCTGGTTTATCTGGTAGTACCGTCCATTGTCAAAGCAGGTCTCTGCGGAGGGGGGAGGGAGGGGAAAGAAAGCAAAGTTTGGTCTCACCGAGGGCGCGGGCAGGGCACGACCAGCCCAAGCAGCACCGCGGACCCCCACCCGCGTCGGGGACACGGAGCTGGCCAGCCCCCGCTCCAGCCCCGCAGCCCGTGCCGGTACTCACGCTTGCCCTGCGCGGGGGTGGCTTGCGGCACCGAGGCGGTCTGCGCCTGCCGCCGGTTCTTCCCTCCGCGCCGCTGCCTTTCGCCCCCTCCCGCAGCCGCCGCCGCCGCCGCCCCCAGGCAGAGGGCGAGCAGCGCCAGCCGCAAACCGCCGCGGCCCGGCATCCTCGGCACGGCTCGGAGAACGGCGCGGGGATCGGCGCCGAGATCTGAGTGGGGAACGGGACCGCTCGCAGGCAGCCCGACGGTCGGGGCAGCGCCGCCGCCCGGGCGCTATATAGGACGGGCAGCGCGGGGGGGTGAGCAGCCGCCGCCGCCCCGGAGCCCATTGGCCCTCGCAGCCGCCGGGGGACGGACGGGGACCGCCACCGCCCCGCCGAGCAGAACGAGGCGCTGCCCCGCCGGCAGCCACAAAGGGTCGGGGTGCGGAGAGGGGGAGCGGCGGTGCCGATTTGCGGGGCGTTTGCCCTGACAAAATGGCTTCCCCCCCCCCTCTTTTTGAGAGCCTTTCTTTTGTTAGAGCCAGGTTTTACACCCCTATGGACTACACGGGGTCTTCGCCGTTACAATCTCACTTGAGCAAGTCGCATACAAACTTTGTCACGCTCTTTTGCCCGTCTCGTTCCCACTGCCATCTCCCCTGCGTTAAGGAGTGTCTCGTTTCCCTGCTTCGAAGGGAAGTCCCAAAGCAGAGTGTGCAACTGTGGCCCTAAAGGCAGAAAGTTGCTGATGGGGAGAGCACCACACGGCACTACTACAGCACACCCTGTCCTGGTGCACTGCTTGGACCAGAGCTCAAGCTCAGATCATATAGAAAGATTGTTCTGCTGACTCTTTTCATGATACCCTCTGTCTTTGCAAAGGGGTTACTGACCTAATAGTCCGCTCTAGTTCCCAACCTAATGAAACAATTCTGACAAACATGTCTTGCACTGAATATTCCTCTGGTTCCCAACCTATTGAAACAACTCTGACAAACGTGGACATGAAGTACTGTCTTGCGCTGAACATTCCTGAATCTCCATGAAAGTTCTTCACCAAAATGGGTACCGAGCTCTAAATAGCTTCCTCTTAAAGCATGCTGATTGTATGACCTGCACTGAAAAGCAAGTCATAATCTGCTTGGGATGAAGATGTTCAATAGAGATGAAGATGTTCAATAGGCAGCACATCCCCAGCATGTGCTTTGTTCCCAGAAAGCCCTGAGTTGGAATGGCAGGTTGTGTGTTCTCAAAGAAATTTCTATTCCTCTCCATGACAAATGTCCACAGGTTCTTTAACACAAGCTTCCCTGCTGAAAGCTTCCTGGAAATTGAAACGTGACCTGGCGATTGAGGTGAGCTGTGGTGAGCCAATTCCCATCTTGTCTAATTTTTATTTTTACATCTACCGTGTTGCATTTTTTTTAGCCGTCAGAGACACATTACCCCTCAAAATAATCACATAACCAGTGCCACCATAGCAAGGGAGAGCTTTAGAAATGGAACGCATCATCATAATGAGAACCTGCTTTCAGAGGTTTTTCCTGCTTTTTTGAGACTGGAGATAGGAAGTGTTGTCCTGTAATGACAGCTTAAAGCAGCTCTGGAATTCTTGATGAACCTACCCTGAGGAGAACGCTGTGAGAAGCTGTGATCATTTCTAACTGGGATGTGCTTCTTATGGACAGGGTGTGTGAGCAAGTCCCACTGCTGAGAGCTGCTAACTAAGCACAACTGATGTGATGAAGGAAAAGGTGATGAGGAGCTTTCAAGCCCAGGAGGATTATGGTGAAGAAAAATCACTCCAGGAGATACGCTTGAAGTGGAAGGTAACCCAGAATGAACTGGCTGTGGTGGAACAAACAAACATGTGGGTGCAACCAGCCGTCTTCCCTGTGGAGGAAGACTCCCCCTTGGTGCTAGGTGCTGTACAAACAGAACCAAAGGGCACTTTGGGGTGTTTCTGACCTCTGAAGATCCAGGTACGTGCCACCTACCAGCTCTCCTCAAGCACAAGGAAAGGGTCACTGTTCCAAAGAGATGCGACTTCTAGATCCATTTCCAGCATGCTGCTTTTAGTGACCCAATTTCCAGCCTGCTGCTTTTAGAAACTATTTTTATAATGGCATTCATAATGTGTATATACTGGAGACACTCTGCATGGTCAAGCGTTGACCTCATTTATGTCTTTTGTCATCCTGCATTGCACCTAAGTCTTCCAGGACAATGTGAGTGCTTACACAAAAATGAAAACGCTATTCAGTCTGAAGACTGAGGAATAGTGTTAACAAGTGTGTGACTGTGTCTAATGCTTACCACAGCACTGCTTACACAAATAGAGGAACAAATGTAAGAATCTTATTTAAGAAAACATTACTGGAAACGTACAAAACAAAGTAATAATTTTCAGTGATTCTCAAATTAGTTTCTTGCACAGCCATCATTTATTAGCAGCCAGAAATAATCCAAGGAGTCGTATTTCAACAAAATTTGAAACAGTCTGGTTTCACTTCTAAAGGAATCTCTGACAGTAATTATGACACAACCATGCAGTAGTCATTATATTGCATGCTGTTAGACTTTCTGAGATGTCTCTTAAGTTATTTTGGGAAATGGATGTGACTCTTTTGTCTGTCCTTCTGTTCGTTCATCCCTTGAGCTAACAGCAATGAAAGAAAGATTCACCTGAAGTCTTTCTTAGGATGAGATCACCCTGAATTTATAACAACCTTTCCATGCTTTTTGCATCCCAATAAGGAGCAAGGACGTTCTAAACCTCTGCTTTAGCCATGGATATTCTGATTCAATTCTGATTCATGTTCTTGGTCTTTTTTGAAATCCTAACTTTTCACTCTTGGCTAGAAAAGGCACATGTCCTTATAAGGTCCTGACTTCTCTTGTTCCATGTATTGCTCTGCAGATAAGCTTCTCCAGTGGGTTGGCTTCATTTCCTCTACTGCACACAAGGCGTAGGGGGCTGTGGATATGCCTGGGAGGACGGTCTGGCCCTGAAAGCATTCTCCTGCAAGTCCTGATAGCGCAGAAAGCACCAAGCCAGGTCACTTATTATTCTTTTAGCAACCTTAGAATAATGGCCACATGGGCTTAATTATCTCCTTCTAAAATTATCACTCATAAGAACAGGAATCATAAAGACAACAGGTCAGGATTCCTTTCCTTCACATAGGGAGACCATTAAACGCTTCCTGCAGTTTCCAAATATTTTGCAAGAACTCCTGGTGCGAGCTGAAAATTTCTGAATCATCAGAATTTCAAGTCTGTGGTTTGAGTTAGGTCAGAGCAGAATTCATTTCAAGGCTTGCTGAGGTTCTGCTGCACAGTGCTTCATTCACTCCTGAGTGCAGCCGTCCTGCGAGTCGCATCCAGGAATCTGGAACATCACTCCTTAAATGAAATTCATTCCTTCTGCTGCTTACCAGCAAACTCAGTGGTATGTAACTTTATGCCAGCTCTCGGCGTAGGAATGAATTTCATCGTGTATAAATGGTCCCTAACATGGCATTCATTACATCTTGGCACTCTTGATGGAAATTCCCTGCTCTTCTCTCTCCTCCCCAGTCTTTCATAACTAAACGTTTGGTGTCATCAACACAAAAAACGCGTTTCCTTCCTGTAGCTGTCTGTGGATTATGTTACTCTGCTTGGTCACCTGAACTACTGTAGTTTACCAGTGGTGAGAAGTTCATAGCTGCGGCTCTTGCTTTGCAGTTGGTTCTGCAGAACAGTCAGCTCCAGGCATTTAACCATTCACGACTCTGTCCCTGGAAAATCAGGTGAGGAGCCCGGGGGCAGGATTCAAGATTTTCATTCTCTTTCAGTTACAAGGCTTCTTTTGAAGTTTCAGTTTGTTTTTCTGATTCTGCAAGGAGGATTTACATCACATATGAAGCAATACAAGAATGGTAGCTGAGAGCCTGATGTGCTTCCCGATGCCAGCACTTCAAGGAAAATGAGAACTTCTGTGAGGCCTGTGACCATGTGGCAGACGAGCAGCACACGACAGACCCTCATCCACAGAGCAAGCTTATGCTTGCTCATACCAGCTTTAGAAGAGCTGAAAACTTCTCGTAGCATCACAGAATCATCAAGGTTGGAAAAGATGTCTAAGATCATCTAGCTCATTGTCAACCCGTACCCACCATACCCACCAAATCCTAGTGTCGCGTGCCCATGTTTCTTGAACACTTCCAGGGGTGGTGACTCTACCACTTCCCTGGGCATCCTGTGCCAGTGCATTAACACTCTTTCTGAAAAGGCTCTCCTGTGCTTTTTCTTCTCTATAGAATCATCTGAGTTGGAAGGGACCCTTAAAGGCCATCTAGTCCAACTCCCCTGCAATGAACAGGGACCCCTACAGCTCCGTCAGATGCTCAGAGCCCCGTTCTGCTTGACCTCAAATGTCTCTCTGGGGAGGAGGTATCTACCACCTCCCTGAGCAACCCGTGCCAGTGCTCTTACCATAAAAAACTTCTTTCTTGTATCCAGTCTAAATCTCCCCTCTTTTTGTCTGAAACCATTTCCCCTTGTTCTGTCACATCAGACCCCACTAAAGAGTTCTTGTAGCCTCCATTTAGATACTGAAAGGCTTCTCTCAGGTCCCCACAGAGCCTTGTCTTCTCCATGCTGAACAGCTCCAGCTCTCAGCCTGCCCTCGGATCATCCTACTGGCCCTCCTCTGGACAGTATCCAACAGGTCCTTGTCTCTCCTGAGGACTCCACATCTAGACACAGTACTCCAGGTACTTGATCATTTGAGGGTCCCGATAATGCTTTCAGATGCTAAGAAGACATTTTCAAAGATACTCAAATCCTATTCAAGTTGCCTAAATCTTTGAAAATCCCAGTGTCAACCCCTGCTGGGGATTTTCTGTAGCACTTCTGGGGAACTTCTCAGAGCATCTCGGGAAATATGATTGCACTTTCAGGATGAGCTATGAGTACTGCTGAATGTGGCTTGGGAAAGGAAGTGTGGTGTTGCCAGCTCTTGAAAGAGATGTTATTTTCGGCAGCACTGGAACAGTCTTGTTTTAATGAGGGATGTTCCATCTCTCCAGCTGATGTCTACTCCACTTGAAGGAAATCCTCCTCTAATTGGCTGCTTGTCTCACTTATTTTCCTGCTTTTAGAGGTAAGATGTCCCCAAAGACTGCTGTAGAGTATGAGTGACACTCCTCCTAT